TCGAGTACAAGGGCCTGCAAGCTGCAGAGGTCGACATTTTCGAGGTCTGTAGCTTCGAAGATTCGTGAGTTTTGTGACGCGCCCGGTGTGGCGAGCGAGGGGTTTTCCCCTCGAGGTAGTCTCCAAGTCTCCAAGCCTCCTTCTCCCCCTTCTCCTCATCATCCCCTTCCTCCTCCTCCTCCTCCTCCTCCTCCTCCTCCTCATCATCATCATCATCATCATCATCATCATCATCATCATCGTCGTCGTCGTCATCATCATCATCATCATCATCATCATCATCATCATCATCATCATCATCATCATCATCATCATCATCATCATCATCATCATCATCATCATCATCATCATCATCATCATCATCATCATCATCATCATCATCATCATCATCATCATCATCATCATCATCATCATCATCATCATCATCATCATCATCATCATCATCATCATCATCATCATCATCCCCTTCCTCCTCCTCCTCCTCCTGCTCCTCCTCCTCCTCATCCTCCTCCTCCTCTTCCCCCTCCTCCTCCTCCTCCTCCTCCTCCTCCTCCTCCTCCTCATCTTCCTCCCCCTCTTCCTCAAGTATTGGAGCTCGTCCGTGTCACTCGGAACGTGCACCTGGGCATTCCTCTGTTCTCTCTCTCTGTCCGCCGCCCGCGCCTCCCCCTGCACTGCCTCTCGAGCCGAGGGCTCGGAGTCTCCTCTGCCCCCCCGGCTGCCTCCCTTCACGCGGTCGCCACTGTCGACTCGACTGCGCGGTGCCGGCTCGCTCGCTCGCTCCTGGCTGCCTCGCCGCGCCGCCGCGGCGAGGGGCGGAGGGACAGGAGCTGGCCGCAAGACTCCGACGGCAGGCTGGGTGCCTCTCCCGTCTCCGTGTCACTTTTTCGACGGTCCTCAGGGCGTGTGCGCTGCGGGCAAGATGTGGATTCATATCCACCGCGTCTTGGATGTTCGGGCTCCAGAGCAGTGGCTGTGAATCAACACGTGGCCCCTAGGAACCAGAGTCTTCTTCATGTCCACTGCGCCTCGGCCTTCTGGCGCCCCTCCCCAGAAAGTCCGGGACGGGGTGGGCATGAAGCAGATCTTGCCCGCAGTGCAGTGTTGACGCCACTGTGCGCTCGCCCGCCGAAGCCCTTCAATACGACGCGGGCGACGCAATGAGGGCTGACACGGGCTGCGTCTGCCTGCGTGCACTCGGCGGAGCTGCACGCAAAGGGGCGCGTCTGGGAGACCAGGGGCGAACAGACGCGAGCACGGTGATCTGTCCAGCGGACCACGACGTGGCAGGCAGGTTGCGTCCAGGCCGCGGCGGGTTGCGGTCGGGCAGGGGTCGCGCGCTCTTCGCCCTTGGAGCGCGGAGGAGCAGGTGCGCGGCGCCACTGCGGGTCGCAGGGTCGATTGCGCCACAGCGCGCCAAGCAGGCGGGTCGCTATTTGTTTACACCGCAAACACTCCACGAGCAGCTAGCGCAACCATGCGCTACTCTCGCAAATGCCGCGGCCAAACTCCACCGAGCAGACGGGTCGCTGGTGGAGGAAGATGGCAGGCTTGGGGACGATACCACAAAACGCCGACCCCAGCCCCCTGATCGGCTCGACGCAGGAGCGCCCTCGGTCAAAAATGTCCCCTGCGCTGCGCTGCGTCTCGGGCGAAGCAGGACCCCAAAGACCAGCCCCTCTGGACACCTCTGGGTGCTCCCGAGGGGCGGGGCGGAGCGGCGGCCAAACATCCGTCCAGCGGGACCGCTCCACAGTGCGCGAAGCGCATGGAGAGGCCGGGAATTCCTAGGACAGTGACCCGGCGAAGCAGTGACGCATCATGCGGCATGGCAGAGACGTCCGGGAAGCAGGGGAAGGAGGGAGAGGAGGCCGCAACTCGTGGGCTGGCAAAGCAAGGGAAAGGGCGGGGGCGCGGGATTCCCGACGCCAGTGCGGCCCAGCAGCCACCCGCAGAGGCCGAGCCTCACGAACGGGGTGCTCTCGAGAGGCGACGGGCAGAGCGCGCCGCTCGGTGTCGTCTGCTGCCGAGCGGAGTCGAGCCGCGATGGCAGGCAAGCCCAGGGCGCGTCGCGGCGCGGGCGGCGGGCGCGTCGTGGGCCCGTCATGGCGCGGGTCGCGGAACCCAGCTCGAGGGTAGTCTTGGAGGGTGCGCCGCTGGATCTCCCCAAAGGGGGGGTGGGTGGGAACCCCTCCCCCCCCTTCCCCTTCCCCGATCCGTCGTCGGAGACCCCCCCCCCCTCCCCCCCTCCCCTCCTTTCCCCGATCCGTCGTCGGGGGGGACACCCCCCCCTTAAGGAGGGGGGGGGTCCGAACCCCTCCCCCCCTCCCCCCCTTTGGCCACGCCGACCCCTGACTACAGAACCCGACCCCCGCCACCCCTACCCCTAGTCCTCACCCTGACCCAATACCCTAACCCTAATCCCAACCACTAACCCCAGCCCCAAAGAGTACTCACGACTCATTACTCCCTACCCACTACTGACTACTCGCTATTCGCTACTCACTTTTCACGACCCCCTACTTACTACTCACGATTCACTACTCACTATCCACTACTCACTACCCACCACCCACTACTCGCTACTCACTACTCCCTACCTACCACTCCCTCCGCCCTACTCAGTACTCACTACTCACTCCTCACTACCCACTACTCAATACTCTCTACTCACTAAGCACTACTCACTACTCCCTACTCACTACTCACTATAGCACTACTCATTACCCACTACCCACTAGTCCACTACTCACTACTCACTACTCATTGCCCACAAATCACAACTCACTACCCACTATTCGCTACTCACTACTCCCTACTCCCTAGACAATACTGACTACACAATACTCAGTTCCCACTACTCGCTACTCCCATACTCGCTACTCAAAACTCACTACTCACTCCCCGCTACTCACTACTCACTACTCACTACTCCCTACTCGCCTGTCACTACATAGTCTCTAGTCACTAGTCACAGGTCACTAGCCACTAGCCACTACTCGCTACCCACTACCCACTACTCACTACTCGCTACTCACTACCCATGTTTCCCTACCCACTCCTTACTACTCACTGCTCACTACTCCCTACCCCCTACTCACAATTCACTACTCACTACTCTCTACTCGTTACTCACGAATCACTACCCACTACTCACTACTGGCAACTCTCTACTCACTACTCACTACTCACTACGCCCTACTCGCTCCTCACTACTCACTACTCGGTACTCCCTACTCGCTACTCACTACACACTACCCACTGCCACTACCCTTCACTTTCTATTATCACTACTCACTACTCACTACTCACTACGCACTACGTACTACTCTGTACTCAGTACGCAATACTCACTACTCGCTACTCTCAATTCATTACTCACTACTCACTACTCACTACTCACGACTCACTACTCACTACGCACTACGCACTACCCACTACTCACTACTCACTAATCACTACTCGCCACCCACTACTCACTACCCACTACTCACTACCCACTACTCATTACTCCCTTCCCCCTACTCAGTACTCACTACTCACCACTCGCTACTCAGTACTCACTACTCGCCATTCACTACTCACTTATCAGTACACACTACTCACTATTCACTACTCACAACTCCCCACTACCTACACCCTACTCCCTACTCGCCATTCACTACCCACTACCCGCTACTCAGTACTGACTACTCACTACGCACTAACTCACTACTCACTACTCACCACTCACCACTTCCCAACTGCGTACTCCATACACACCTTCTCTGGCGCAGAAAGGAGAAGCGAGAGAGGCCCCCCCTCCCCGGCTCCCTCTCTGGCGCAAAGGGGGGAAGGGGGGGGGTCCGAACCCCCCTTCCCCTTTCAGCGCCAAGGGGGGGGGAGGTTCTGGACCCCCCCCCCCCTTTCAAGGGAGGGAGGGGGGGGGTCGGACCCCCCCCCGCCTTTGCCGCGGAAAGGGGGGGGGGGGTGGGACCTCCCCCCCTTTGAAGGGGGGAAGAGGGGGGCGGTTCTGGACCCCCCCCCCTTTAGTGTATTCAGGGAGATCCACTGGCGCACTTTCCCAGTCTTGGGCATGACGGCGGCGACAACAAGCTCCTCCACCTCGTCCTCCTCCTCCTCCCTCCTCCTCCTGCTCCTCCTCCTCCTCCTCCTGCTCCTCCTCCTCCCTCCTCCTGCTCCTCCTCCTCCTCCTCCTCCTCCTCCTCCTCCTCCTCCTCCTTCCTCCTCCTCCTCCTCCTCCTCCTCCTCCTCCTCCTCCTCCTCCTCCTCCTCCTCCTCCTCCTCCTCTAAGAGGCCCCAAGACCCCCCCCCAAGATGGCGTGAGACCGCTCGGCTCGGCCCGCCTCATTCGGGTCTTCTGCGTGCCCCTCTTGGGCGGCAGAGTCGCTCTTCGAGACCAGCACGCGAGTCGCGGGGCGCGTCATTCCCCCCAGGAACTGATGACTAACCAGCGCTTCGCGGCGCTGGCCCTGGACACGAGCCATGCGTTGCAAGCGAATGGCGTGTCGTTTCGCCCCGAGGGGCTGGTGGCTGGGAAATGCTCGGACAGCGCATGCTGGTGGACTGGGACGTGGTCGGCGTGCCGCGCCTAGGCGTGGCGGGTCATGACAGGCGGCGCGACCCACGGAGGGAAGGGCCGCAAGCCGTACGTAAACTCACGCTCAAGCCGGAACCGGACGCCCCAGTTCAGGATCTGTGCATAACGTCCACCCCCTGTGGTCTCGACCCATTCTGCGGGACCAGTTCTTCATCCCGACCTGTTTTTGACGGTCTCGAGGCCCGGTAAGGTCCTCCAGAGGCTGGCGCTGACAACAAAAACCTTGCAGCGTGAGTTTTCCATGGCTCGAGGGCGTCTGGGACCGAGGTTTCCCGGGCCAGAGGCAGGCAGAGACGAGCCTGCGAAGGAGGCGCATGGGATCCCCTCCAGGCCTTCGAGGGACAGCCGCCATCCCCCCCCCTCTGCGGGTTCCCTCCATGCTCCCCGCGGCGGGAACGACCGCGTCCGCTCCGTCGGGGGCCGCGACGGCCCCGTCGGCGACCTCCTCCGGCACCCGTCCCTCCTCGGCCTCTGTGGTCGCTGCCGCAGGAGTGGGCGCAGCTGTCCGTCGAGCCCGGTCCTCCGCGCGGCGGCGCAGCACCTGCAGGTGGTGGTTGAACGCGTCGATCGTGAAGTCCTGCACGAAGGCAGGCTCTGGCTCCACCACAACCGGCTCCGGGGGTGGCGTGGGCGGCTCGCCCTTCTTTTTCTTCTTCTTCACCTCGGTCTTCTCCTTTTGCTTCTTGGGCTTCTCGGGCGGCTTCATCACGGCGCGACTCTTGGCCAGCTGCTCGGCCTCCCACTGCCGATACTGCCCGAGGGTCCCCTGGAACCTGACGCGATCCTGCTCCGAAAGCGGCGGGTAGGCGATGAACTTCGAGTACTCCGAGATACCTGGGAGAAGAGAAAGATGCCCGTCCTCGGACGATCTCTCTCCGCCATGTTTGGGGCCCCCCTCCCCCTCGAGCCCCAGGTCGGGCACGTCCTCCTGCAGGCGGATCATGGACGAAACATTGAAGTAGTCAATGTATCAGCAATAACCTCATGCCCGTGAGAATAAACACTAGGGGATAATCAAGTTCGGGGTTCAGGGAGAGATGATGAAAGTAGCCCAGCAGACCTCAGCATAATCTCGAAGTAAGAGATGATCAAGAGGAGACCAAGCCGAGCACGTTTTGAGACATCCTTGGCGTTTAGTTTTCATAGAAATCTCCTCAACAATGGCTTATCTCGCTGGAGACATCCTCGACAAATCCCTTGTTTCGCTTGAGACATCCGCAAACTATTGCTTATTTCGCTTGAGACACAGTCAAACTATTGCTTATTTCGCTTGAGACATCCTCGAAATAATTGTGGTTTTCGCTTGTAACGTCCCTAGATAATCAACGGCGGCGATAATAAAGTTCAGGCGGGCGGAGGAATGGAGGAAGCTATACATAAAAAATAAAAATACAACTAATAAAGAATAAAATGAAAGAAATGATAGGAGGAGGAGAAGGAGGAAAAGAATAAAACATCTCGAGTTTCAAATCTATTAGATTTTATTTACAAGCGCTTTATGAAAATTGTTTTTTTGTAAGTGCTCGTGTAGGGTAGCTCATGTGCCTCAATTCCCATGGATAATCAACCCCAGAGATAAAAAAAGTTCAGACGAGCGTGGGGACAGAGAGAAATATAAAAGAAGAAGAATACAGTAGAATAATACTAAGAAAGAAGAAGAGGAGAATCAGAAGAGGACGAAGAAAGGAAAAATCCAAAGTTCCAAATCTATCAATTTTAATTTACAAACGCTTTATGAAAATTGATTTTTTAAGTGCTCGTGTAGGGTAGCTCATGTGCTTCATTTTCCATGGATAATCAACCCCAAGGATAAAAAAGTTAAGGCGAGCGTGAGGACAGATAGAAATATAAAAGAAGAAGAGGAAAGTAGAATAATAATAATAAGAGAAGAAGAAAAGAAGAATAAGAAGAGAAGAATAACGGGAAAAGTGTGATCGCTTCGCTTGATGTTGCTATATCAACATCGCTTGATGTTGCTATCTCAACATAGCGTTTCGAGGTGATAATGAAGTTCGGCCTCAGCGCTCGCCGCCCAATTTGAATGTTGTATAGGGCGACGATAATCAACTCTAAACACTGAAGGGGGGGGTCCCTTTATTATCATCGGCATGCGGTTAATCACACGAGCGCGAGCAATCGTCACCTGACTATCTTTGACTACTCTGGACTACTCCTCCTGTAGAGGGACATGCCCGACCTAACTCAAGCCCCTCCCAGGGGCGTCCCAGCGCCTGGGGCGGGGGCGAAGGCACCGCCCAGGGGAGGCCAACTCCAGCAGAAAGTCTGCCCGCGCACGCCGGAACGCTGTGCTCACATCCGAAGTCCTGCCACAAAGAGACCTGACGTGAGGAGCGGAGCCCCTTTTCGGGGCACTCGCGCCTGAATTGGCGAGGAGTGCCAGAAGGAACAAGCACCGATACGAACCTCGAGGCGCTTCCGAAACCGACGTGGCCCTTCTTACCAGGGGCTTGACTGCACGTGGCCTGCCTCTCCCAGGGTGCATTCCGACCAGAATGCAGAGCAGAATCCAGGCGTAGCGACGAGGGCTCTCGAGGACGCGCAGTGGCATCGGTACCTCTTCCTCCTCCCACGTCTGGTTCTCTGAAATCCAAATCTGCCATGTCTTGATTTTTCCAAGGTTCGGGTTCCCCAGAAGTCCGTGCCCCTTCCGTGGGGCTGGCGTTCCATCCTGTGTGTGTGTGTGTTTGTGACTGTCTGTGTGTACGTTTGTGTGTGTGCTTCCAGGCCCTCGGGCATGGCGAGGGCTCCCAGAGACGGACAAGGACGAACATCCTGCGCCTTGATATAACCAATTCGTGTACAATGGGAGCCCGACCACAAGAAACCCTCCACAAGAGACCCAACCCTGAGACCCCAAGACGTCCATGGATTTTTGGTGAGGGAGCGCCACGCTTCCCGTCGAAAAACCATCGAAAACCAAGAAACCCAGGGCGCCGTGGAGGCAAGCAGGGTGTTTCCTGGCATGGGCTTCCCTTGTAAAATCTGGGCGCCCGGCGGCTGCAACGCTGGGCTCTTCAGCGCGTCCGCGGAGGTCCCGAGCAGCTCGGACGAGTTGCCCTGCAGGGTGTCCGGCAGCGCCACGAGGTCCGCCGAGGAGAAGACCGGCGCGTCCGGCACCCTGTGGACGGGGGCGCCGTGAGGACCCCCGGGGCGGATCAACGTGCGCGTCGGGGGCTGTCCAGCCATGTGTCCTCCTCCTCCTCCTCCTCCCCCTCCTCCTCCTCCTCCTCCTCCTCCTCCTCCTCCTCCTCCTCCCCCTCCTCCGCCTCCTCCTCCTCCTCCTCCTCCTCCTCCTCCTCCTCCTCCTCCTCCTCCCCCTCCTCCTCCTACTGTCGCGTCGTGTCCGCGCGGAACGCCATGAGCATGAACTTCTGGCGCTCCGCGCGGATTTCTTGGATCTGCGCTGGAAACCCCTCCCGGGTGCGCGTAATTAGCGCGCCAGGGGCGGCGGATGTGGGGCCCGGCGCGGAGCCAAGAAAGCCGCGCGGAGCGCCAAAAGTTTATGTTTATGGCGTTTTTCTTCTTCGCGAGTTCCAGCGGCTGCGCCTCGCCGAAGGATATGCTGTCTGGGCGTACGGCCGCCGGAGAGCCGATGCCCCGGGCCAGATCAATCCGTGTGTGCGTGCGTGCGTGCGTGCGTGCGTGCGTGCGTGCGTGCGTGCGTGCGAGCGTGCGTGCGCGCGTGCGTGCGTGCGTGCGTGCGTGCGTGCGTGCGTGCGTGCGTGCGTGCGTGCGTGTGTGTGTGCGTGTGCGTGTGCGTGTGCGTGTGTGTGTGTGTCGTGGCACCTCCTCCTTCACCGCTTCCCACCGTCTGCTCAAAGGTCCTCTGCAACGTGTGGCCTGGGCAAGCCAGAAGTAGAGCCGACGCCCACCGCGTCGCGCACACCGGCTGCCAGTGCGGGCAGCCTGCCTCCAGGGTGTGGCATGCCCCTACCCACTCTCAGCACGAGTGGTGTGCCAGCTGCCTCAGTGCGGGGAACAGCTGCCCTGTCAACTGGCCTCCCCCGCTATGCCGCAACCCGAGCGCCTCTGGCACGTCGCCGAACAGACCCTCCGGGCCCTTGGACTCTCCCCTTTCCCTCTGCCTCTCGGGTCCGGCTCGTTTAACCCCTGTCTCCTCTGCGGGCACGGGGAGGCGGGGGCAGTGCACGTGTGGGTCTGGTGCCCCGCGGCTGCACTCGTCTGGCTTCTCCTTTGGCCCGCCAGTGCCCCGCTTGACCTCGCCGACGCCTTTCGGCATCTGGGGGAGCACGCCTCTCTCATCGCCAGGGTGGTGCATCAGATCGCATACCTCCACGCGGTCGCGCTGGCGCATCCCCCCCGCGTGGCCGAGGGGGCCGCTTTCCTCGTCTGCGCTGCCGTCGCGGCTTCCCTTGGGGGAGACAACGGCAAGCAGGACGATGACCTTCTGGAGGCCCACGATCGCGCCAGGGGGGACGGCCCTGGTGGGTGTGTCTGGGAAGTCGCCTCTGACCCGTGCGAGGTCTGCGCGCCCTCTTCTCCCCCCCCCCCCGCTTTGAGGCAGTGCGCGCGCCACGACCGACCGCAGCGACGGGCGTGGCGGTGATGCGCCCAGGCGCGCGCTCCTCGCCCCTCGCGGCTGTCTTCGGCCCCTCCGCGCGCTTGGTCTTGCACGCTGACCAGAGCCGAGGCCTCGGCTGGCTCCCGCCTGGCCTCGGCCGGCCTCAGCGGGCCCCCCCGAGACGTCCGGGGCGGCCCCAGCACCCTGGCAGTGCCTCCGGCGACGCCCCCGGGGCGCTCGGCGGTATCCAACAAGACGGGACATCACGGCGGTTTGCTCCGCCTTACCCTCCTGTGAGCGTGGCCACACATGGCTCTGCTCACTGGCGAGCCGGACTTGCGGCGCCCCTCCTCGGTTGGGGGCGAAAAGGGGGATCCTGTAGCCGACGCGTGCAACAAGTGCAAGGAACATGAGTACGACGACGTCGAAGTCGAAGAAAGTCTGTAGGGGGACAGCAACGGGCAATGACGTGTCATCTGGCAGTGACGCGCTGCGTCACGGCAGACCACATCTACCAACGATCACTTACAAATGAACCTTGCGCGGCACCAGCTAAGGGTCTTCTCTAGCCCAAAGCTATCAGTCCGAACCAGTTCTGTACAACGTGCATCAATGCAGAGCATTGCTTGGGAACGCTTGTCGTTGCTTGCCGTTGCTTGGGATCGTTGCTTGGCGTTGCTTGGCAGTGGCTTTGCATTGCTGGGCATTGCTCTGCATTGAATGGCATTGGCTCTGCATTGCTTGGCTTTTCTCGGCAGTAGTTTTGCCTTCGTTAGCCTTTGCTGAGGCATCGCATGCGATCGCTGCTTGGCATCGCGCGGCATTGCTCTGCATTGCGTGGCGGTGCTTGGCATTGCTTGGCGCTGCAGACCCCGAAGGGCCCCGAGCAACGCCGAGGAGCCCTGGGCCACGCCGAGAGGGCTCGGGAATGTCGACATCCAAACGCGCACCAAATTATGAGATGGGAAAGCTCACGCCCAAAGACTTTTGTCGTCGGAGGCGAGGCACAGGCAGTCCGCTCCAGCGTGTGGCTAACTGGGGCAACCGACATGCGAACTGTCTGGCGTGCAAGAGGAACAAAAGGACGAGGGCGGCCGCGCGGGGAGAGGAGGGGGGAACACCCAAAGACACTAGGCACATCGCAACCACAACACTTCCTGCCATCAACGAAAAGTCGCTGCCAGACTGTGGCGCTCCTGTCTGATGAGCTTTGTGTTTCCGGCGCAGCGACCACAACTGCGACAACGTGCTGAACAATGCCACCACCGCAAGCAGAGGGAGTCGGAAAGCAGTCCTGCTGCCAGACAGGTGTCGCCCCATCCTCCCAGGGGAAGCGAAGACGCCGACGAGGGAGAAGAGGCCGAGGAGGGGGGAGGAACGAAGGAACAGTGGAGAGAGCACTCCGGCCTGCTGCGATAGACAGTGATGTGCTCCAGGAGCGAGCCGGCGTGCGTGGGCGGCTCCCTGACGACGCTGGCCGAGGGGTCCGCGCGGGCCGCCGCGAGCAGCTCCTCGACGTCGCTCCTGCAGGGGGGCAGGCGGAGCGCCGCACCGACTCGGTCGACGCCCTGGCGAAGCTGAGGGGCAACGGCAGGGGGGGGGGACCGGCAGAAGGGGGGGGGGGGGGAGCCCCAGACCTGGACGCGGCGATGCATCGCCGACGGAGCGGCGGCAGGCCCCCGATGGTGAATCCGCACCTCTCCTGGGCGAGCTGGGGCCATCGGGCCCCTGTCGGCGATCCGTGGGCGATCGGGGGCCGCTGCGCACCCCCCCGCTGTGCCTTGATTATGCCCCCCCCCCCTGCCGTTTTGCCCCCGGGAGGCCAGCCTTCCGCCGGTCTCGCCTCGAGCCGGCCGGCGGCCTGCCCCGAGGCCACGGTGGAGCCCGTGGGCGGGGGGACGCGGGCGGGGCCCCGCCGCGGCCCCCGCGCGGCGGGAGGAGCGCCGCAGGGCGGGGCGGGGCAGGGCGAGGGGGCCGCGGAGCGGAGCTCCGAGCAGGAGATCGGCTGCAGAACGGATTTTGGCCCCAGGATGGACCTTCCCCGTGAGATCTACGAAGGCTGCGCAGAATGCCCCGTAGATCCGCGGGGCAGTCTACGTATTCCCCGCAGGTTCGACGAGGAAACATAAAACATAATTTTGGGGTGAATCAACTCTGTAGTCGATCCTCTACTCGAAGTCGAATAACACATCCTCCTCAGGCCTCCTCGGGCCATGCGCCGCCAGCTCCTCGGTCAACGCCACTTGCAAACGGAGCCCCCGCTGCAACGCAGGTGTGCTGGATTTCCGGCTTTCCTGCCACAGCATGTCGAATTCAGACTGCCAATGCACGTTGGCTAAACTGCCACCACAGTCCATTACGTCGCCAACAAGAAATACTGAACTCATCGATATCGAATCACGATTTCATTGCCACTGCATGTTGTTTTCGTTGCCACCGCACCTCGAATCGCTTGCCAAGGCCTATATCCCATCCTGGTTGCACTGCCGCTGCATCTTGAAGGCTGCGCCACCTCAGCCTGAAGCTAGCTGGTAACATCGAATATTGTTATGTGGTGCGACCTCATGCAATACGGTGACCACCACATATGTCGCCGCGCCGTTTGTTCTCAACACGCCCAATTGGAGACGCCGACACAACGGCAAACCCACGGCAAACCTTGCGTCCCGCGCCCAAGCAGACGACGCCTGCACCGCGGCAAAGCCCACGGCGAGCCCACCGCGCCCGAGGCAGCGCTTGCCCTGGTGCCCGAGGCGCCCTCCCCAGGACGGAAGGCTGCGCGTGGGAACAAACGGCACGACGACATATGGGTGCCATTGCCCCCAGCATGTTGATGTCATTATCACCTGCACTACAGTTCAATAGCATGGTCAGGTTATGCCACCACAAACGGCAAGTATTTCCAACGCGTCCAAGCTTAACTGCCATTGCATCTTGACATAAGCGCCACCTCATCTAGGTACCATGTCAACCGCATCTTGATACTACTGCCATCGCACCATGAGATTCACTGACACCGCATCTAGACGTGATTGCAATCGCATTGGGTTGTGTTATCGCCACAACACCTTCGACCATTACAATCGCAACCCGATGCAATGGTCGCCACATCTGAAACTTCTTGCTGCCGCATCTTGCTTAGATTACCCTCCGCATGGGGACGGGAGGGCCCACCACCGAAACATAAGGGCTGTTTGTCATTTATCCTGCGACTGCCACGCCAATGCACACAGTAAAGGCGTCCTGAGGGAAACAAGCCCTGCTGGGCGGGTGGTAGGGTGGCCCAAATGGGTGGCGAATAAAAACGCTAAAGGGACCCTTTCGGGCTCCTTTTGGGCACCAGCTGGCCCCCAAAAGGGGCCCCTAAGGGCCCCTTTTGAGCCCTTTTCTTCACCCCCAATGTGGCTCACTCCCAATTTCCACTCGCATGGCTTTCAAGGTGGGCTTCGCGATGCAAGTACTGATGCTTGTCACGAATCGGAGGGAAAGGGCTCGGGGCGAAGTCATATTGCTCCATAGTTGGCACATCCTGGGCACACCCTGGCCTGGCCATCCACCCCCCCTCTTAACGTGGCGCGCGGAAGGGGAGGAGGGAGGAGGCCAGAGAACGGAGTGATTGGGGCCACCTTAGAAGAAGACTGGCTCAGGGGGAGGCTCAGGGCGATACATCGCCGGCAGATCGGCGATGGGCTCTCGATGGCCATTCCGGACGTTACTGGGAGGGGAGACTGTGGGAGCCCAATCGGCGATCAATTGGCAATTGGCGGTCGATTCGGCCGCGGGGGCCCCCAGAGCCTCATCGGTGTGGTGCTGTCGATGTGCGTTGTCTTTCTCGGGCGAAGAACAAGGGAGTAACGCGCCGATGGGGGCCCCGATGTGGCCCTGGGGCCCCCCGCGGCGGCGTGACATTGATACTGTTTCTCCCCCTCCCGATCGATGCATCCCCCCCTGAGCCGATCCGGCCCCACTGTTGCCCCCGAGGTAATCCTCCCTCCCCTCCTCCAGCGCGGCGCGCAGAGGTACTCCTCCCTCTCCCCTCCTCCAGCGCGGCGCGCAGGGGCGGGAGGAGGGAGGAAGCCCGCGGAGAGCACAGACAGGCACCGATATATACCGCCCCTCCCCGGGCCGCTCCACGGGGGGGTGCGCTCCGACGGAAAAGATTCGGAGGACGCCCGGCCGCGTGGCGACCGGGCCTCTCTGCAGGAGGAGCGGCGGCAGCGGCACCTGCTTCCTCTGCAGGAGGGGGGGCGAGGTGGAGGGAGGAGCGAGGCTGATGGGCGTGTTTTCCACCACCACCACCATAAGTTGGAGGGGGGGGGTCCTCCTCCTCCTCCTCCTCCTCCTCCTCCTCCTCCTCCTCCTCATCATCATTCTCCTCCTCCTCCTCCTCCTACTCCTCCTCCTCCTCATTCTCCTCCTCCTCCTCCTCCTCCTCGCCCTCCTCCTCCTCCTTCCGCCCTCCAACTTATGGTGGTGGTAGTGGAAAAGAAGCTTATCAGAGGCGGACAGGCGCCCCCAAAGTCGAATCGACCAGTCGGATCGGCGACCGACAAGAAGCGGATCGGCGGGAACCGGCAGCCGAGTCGGATCCGCGGAAACCGGCAGATTCGTACGTCGTCATTGAGAAATGGGAGCCCGGATCGGAATCCGAAGCCGAATCGAATCGGAATCGGGAGCCATCGAAATCGAGTCGAATCGAACCGGAGGAGTCGAAGTGAGCCCTGCAGGGAGGAGAGGCGGCGCGTGGCGCACGGGCGGGGGCAGCCTCGCCCCGTCGCCGCGGGCCTCTGGCCCGACCCTGGGGAGACCAAAAGGTACCGGTACCGCTACTCTACTCAGACCTCTCCGGGGGTGCGCTCTGACTAGAATTTCGAGGCGAACCCAGCGGTGGCGACGAGGGCCTCCCAGGAGGCCCAAGGAGGGGAAAACGGGCGATGCGTAGCGGTAGCGGTACCTGTTCCTTCATCATCATCATCATCTTCCTCCTCCTCCTTCTCCTCGTCCTCCTCCTCGTCCTCCTCCTCCTCCTCCTCCTCCTCCTCCTCCTCTTGGTTTCTCCTCTTCCTCCTCCTCCTCCTCCTCCTCCTCTGAGACCCCCCCCTCCCCTCCCCGACGCTCCTGCAGAGCAGCTCCTCGGCGTCCCCGTTGCCGTGCACCACGAAGGTCCGCGGCGGCGGCCCCCCCGCCTTCCAGCGCGTCAGCGGCGTCGTCGACGACGTCACTGCCGTAGAGGTCGTGGACTCCGTGGTCGTCGTCGACATCAACGTCGTGGATGCCGTCGTCGACGCCGACATTGCGGAGATCGTGGATTTCATCGTCGGCGTCGTCGTCATCGTCGTCGTTGAGGTCGATGTCGTGGGTCGGCCCCGCGGCGGGACGCGGTCGAGAACATTTGCCACGATAGGGGCTGCTGGATAGTCCGGGGCGCGTTTGGAGCATATCTGGACCAATCATTGTTCCATCCCTCCTGCGTGGGGTCCTCGTTTGGAACACAGCGCTGCGGTCTCCGTCACTCCTTCCCGTCTCGTGCTTCCGTCGTCTTCCCCCTCTCCTGCTTCCTGCCTCTACCGGCTCCCTACCCTGCCTTCTACATCGCCGTCCCTGTGGGGGGGGGAATGCGAACTGCGAAACTGTCGCCACTTTCGTGGGTTCCTGCGGGGTACAGCGAAGTGGCGTCTTAATGTTCAAATCAGAACGAGGCTTAGGTCGGGCCTGTCCCCCTACAGGGGGATTTTGGACGAAAAATTCAAGATACTTGAAACATAGTCCAAAAATGATCAAACAAAAATTAAAAAATGGTCCCTCGACTATTTCTAAACTAATTTTGAATGTTCCTCCTGTAGAGGGACAGGCCCGACTTAAAACGAGGCCTCGCCCGCTCCCCCCCCCCGAAGCCAGCGGGGCTGCAGAAGCGAAGGTCGCTTCCCGGGGCTCCTGCTGGGGGGGTCAAAGAATATACACCACCGCCACGTCGACTCCTCCTCTCTCCTCTCTCCAGCGAGAGGGGGGGTGGGAGGGAGGTGGTGGCGGTGTTAGTTATATGTATGGGCCCCCAGGATCCTGGGGGGTCCAGCGGAGTCAAAAGGGATGCCTCGCTCTCGCTGGGGGCTGCGAATTCCGTGCGGCCGTCGTCACTCTCCTCGGGGCTCCCTTTGGCGGTCCAGCGGGGTGGCGTCTCCTTCGATCCCAGAAGCGAGGCCTCGCCGGCGCTGCCTGCCACGGCCTGCCACGCTCCACTGCGCTGACACCCTCCCGTTCTCTCCTCTGCACCTCGGCCTGTGGTCCTGCCTCCGGGTTCGCCGCCCAACACGCGAGGCTCCCGTTGCGCGTTCACACCGCAGCGGCTTCCTTGCCATGCTGTCGTCCGCAATGATGCGGCTCGTTGTTCTTGTCCCTTCACGAGGGTGGGTTGAGTACGTCGCACGATGAGTTCCACACGAAGAGCCCCGCCTGCAGCTGCCCCAGGTGAATCACCGAAGCGCGCTGTCCATTCGAGTGCAGAGCTGGATGGGAAGCTGCAATTCGCGGCACGCAATTGGAGAACGAAGGGTAGCGAACATGATGCGAGGAGGAAGCGATGTCGGGGCGAGTGGACCAACATGCAACCATGACTTTCCTACGGTCCAGCCGACCACTTACATAGCAAGGCCGCACACGACGGTGAATAATGAGCAATATCGCAGCACCTCGAAGGGCGAAGGAGGCCGGCGAAGGATAAACCAGAGTGCAGCGCAATCAAGGCGAGTGAAGTGGGCGTAACTGGAAGTTGGGCGGGGGGCCTTTTGATCAGACCTGGGCCAGGGTTGGAATCGGACTTGGGCCAGGGGTGCAAAAGGCGAGACGCCCTCTTGCCTCCTGGGGAGGTCCCCCTGGAGACCTGACCAGAAGGGGCAGATCCCGCCCAGAAGGCTCCCTTCGTCTCTCCGAAGACCGCCCCCTTCGCCAGCCCCTGATCCCGACATGGAACCGCTCAGAGCCAGTGGTCCCAGAGCCCCTGCTGGGCCCGCCCTGACCGGCTTTCCCGAGCCGCGCCTCCAGCCGTGGCGACGAGAGGTTCAGGAGGCGGCGGCAGAAGATCAAAACGGCGACGCCGCCGAAGGACGACAGCCACAGCGCCGACGGCGGCGACGTTGGCGGCGGCGGACATGGTTGCTCCAATCCGCGGCCCCGGAAGTCCCGACCGCTTTCCCCGGGACAAGCTTTCGCCGCGGATCCCTGGCAGGCGGTCCCCAGTCCCGAAAGCGGCCTTCGAGGGCCGAAAGCCAAAAAAGAGCACAAGTGTAGGGGAAGAGAGGTTGGCCAGCGTGGACCCCAAACAATGATTTCTTGCAGCATCCTGCAATCTATGCAGCGCAGTCTATATGGATCTACATGGTACAGTCCATGTGGTGCAGTCTAGGCGCTGCGATCATGTGGTACAATCTCGCTGGCACAGAGCAGCGCAGAGCTGTGCCGAGCAATGCAAAGCAACGCGGCGACGGGCGGCGATGAGCTGGCCCGCCCGCCACAAGGGCCAGGCGGCGGCGGCGACGGGCGGCGATGCGCTGGGCTCGCCTGGCGGCGCATTCGGCGCTGCCCCTGGCGCGCTCCGCGCGCCAGAAAGGGGACCCACCTTGCGAACCAGGACTTGCAAGGACCTCCGAAAATCAGTGCGTATGCCGTTGTATATTCTTCTACTGCTGAAAAGATCACATCGTCGGAGGACCGCCACGACGCCAACGGTGGCAACGCCGCCGACAGCAACGACGGCAACATCGTCAACGGCAACGACTGCGAGGTGATTTCTGCTCCGACGCGGAAAAGACTGACCTGGAGCCACTCGGCATCTGACTTCTCAAGCCTTCCGCACGCAGAAGCATGTGGCCCGGCCCCGCCCCACCGCCCCCCGACGCCCTCCCCTTCCCAAGCATCGCCGCCAGTGGCTCCACCACGGCCACGGCGCCAACGGCGGCAACGAGGCCACGAGACGACGACGACGACGACGACGACGACGACGACGACGACGACGAGGACGACGACGACGACGACGACGACGACGACGACGACGGCGACGGCGACGGCGACGGCGACGACGGCGACGGCGACGGCGACGGCGACGCGACGGCGCCAGCGCCGCCGACCTCGGAGGCCTCCGGCGGGGGCTCGCCTCCGGCGTCGTCGGGGAGCAGCCCGTGGGCCTCGCGCGGCGGGGCAGCCCGCGGCGCCAGAGGCGCGCGCGCCGCGGGAGGGAAGTGGGCTGCGCCGCGGCGCCTCCGACGAGGCCAGGGCTGCCCTACTAGGATGGCCGCGGGGGTCGCGAAGGTCGGCGAGGAGCGAGGGGGGGAAGTGAGAATGAGAAGGCCGGCTCAGACGGCGGCGGGGCTTCTCAGAAGCCCTCGCGACTTCTGAGAGGCTTTTTGTGCCTTCGGGGAAGGCTTAGAAAACTTCTCAGAAGGCTGGGGGAGTTCCGAACCTTCTGAGAAGGCCTTCTTCTTCTCGCTTCCCCCCCGCGCTCGCCGCCGAGAAGGGGATATGGGGGGGGCTATACGGCGGGCGGAGACAAGGAGCGCCCCCGTGCGGGACCCCCCCCCCGAAATCCAAAGCTGGCGCGTCGGGGGGCGCGCCGCGGCGAAGTGCGCAACTCAGGCCTGCCGCCAACGGTGGTCAGAGGGGAGCGGTGGCATGTGATGTGGCACGAGCGTTCGCTATTTGTGTCTGGTGCCTGCACGTGGATGCCAAGGTGGCTTGCGCACGGCCTGACATAACTCATACGCGGGTAGTGGCCCAAGATCGAAGGTAGGGAACTTGAAATCCACTGCAACCTTAGACTACGCCAGTTGAGCGTAACCAACCTTAACATACAGCAAACTGCATAAACATATGTTCTCCGATGTCTGCGGGGGGTTACTGCTGGGCCCCCTCCACGGCGCGCGGTGCGCGCCAGGGGCGGCGCCAGGCGACCCTGGCGCCGATCCAAGAAATCTGCGCAGAGCTTCAACAGTCGAAAATGATGTTGGTTTGCTGCTTCGTGGAAGAGTCACGAGGCCATGGCTTCTTCGGAGGGGCTCGGACGCGTACACCACGTCGTTTGGTCTGCCAGGGAGCGCGGTGTGTGGACGCCTCAGCTGCGAGTTCCTTCGCCGACCGGCTTGGCTCCCTGGCCGACCAGACGACGTGGTGTACTGTGAGTCCCCGTGGGGGGTCTGCATGTCTGTCGCACACAGAGGGGCCCTTGCAGTCTGGGCCAGGCAGTTCGAAGGCATACGTCTGATCATAGTTTGGCGGCGCGCTTGCTTCGGCAAGCAGCTTACCGCGAGGTCAAGAGCTGCCCCCCCATCGCAGTGCGTTGACCTCCTCGACTGTCAGATTATTGTTCTGCTGCTCCTGCGAAGCTCTCGGCTGGCAACCTGACATAAACATGGACGTCAAGTTTGGGCCACCGAAACGGTCGAGACGTCGGATGGCGAGGACTCCGCCCCGCGTCGCGGACTGATAGGCCGCGAGAATCAGGTGCCAGGGGAGGCAGGGGTTGAGATGTCTCCAGGGTTCTGTTTCTGAGCGCCCTCGGCGTCGGAGCCCATTCGGCCGCCGACTGGGCAGCCGAACGGGCTTGATTTCAACAGGACGGTGGCAAATTAGCCTGTTCGGCGTCCAAGCAGGCTCGATCCCGGGCGCATTCGGCGGCCGCGTGGGCCCAGGCGCCGAATGAGCTTGGCGGAGAGCCCTGGAACTCTGGCTGTAATATTTAACTACATCTTGATCGTGCCAAGAGGGTGGACGTCGGGGGAGCAGTTCTCCTCCTCCTCCTCCTTCTCCTTGACGTCACCATCGTCATCGTCCTCTTGCACCTCCATGGTCGCTCGCGTTCTCAGATGATACTCCTTCGCCTCCGCGGCCGTCGTCGTCAGCGTCCTCCTCCTCCTCAGCCTTCGTCACAATCCTCCTCCACCCCCTCCATCGTCTTCGTGGTTGTCGTCGTCCTTCCCCCCTCCTCCTCCTCCTCCTCCTCCTCCTCCTCCTCCTCCTTCTGCTCCTCTTGCTCTTGGGAAGTCCAAAACGATACCGCTACCGCTACTGCCCCGACTTTCCCAGGGTGTATGCTGACATGATTTCAAGGCGAATCCAGTCGTGGCGACGACGGCCCCCCAGGAAACCCACAAAGGCGAAGACTAGAGAAGGATCGGGGAGTCGGTAATTATCTTTCCCTCCTCCGACTCCTCCACCTACGTCGACGCCGTCGTCCCTCTGACCCGCATCCCTCTCCGAGGGCCTTGCACGGAACAGTGCACCTTGGGCTCGACACATCCTGTCCCATCTCCTGCGAGACCCGCAACGTCTGGTCGCCGTAGATCTCGAAGGCCACGCCGCGCTTGTCCACCAGAGACAACAAACCTTCGAGGCCAGGTCTCTCTTCCGTAACGCAGTTTTCCTGGAGCCGGAACAGAAACCAAAAACACGTAGTCCCTCGCTGAGCCTGGGGGGCCCTCAACCTTCGACAGACAACCTCAGTGAGGCAATACCGTATAGATGAAACACTTTGGACTCTGCAAGCGGGGCTGTGGTCAGGCACTTTTTCTTCGGCGTGTCGCGGCAGCGGCCTCTGCGACACGCCATGCTCTGCACGCTGATGGCGCTCCGCTCCGCTCTGGAGATGATTGTTTTTGATCAGAGTGAGTGCCAAACTGTCATTCAGTGCCCCTGGGTGCGTGGCTGAAGTGGGGTTCCGCGGTGGATGTTTCTGTTGTTGTTGCTGTTGTTGTTGCTGCTGTTGTTGTTGGTGTTGGTGTTGTTGTTGTTGGTGGTGGTGGTGGTGCGTTGTTGTTGCCTTGTTGTGTTTGTTGTTGCTGTTGTTGTCATCGTTGTTGAATGGTTGGCGATGTTGAACTGTTGTTGGTGGTGTTGCTGGTTGCTGTGTTTGTTGTTGCTGGTGTTGCCCTGTTGTTTATTGTTGTTGTTGTTGTTATTGTTATTGTTATTGTTTTTGTTTGTGTTGTTTGTGTTGTTGTTGTTGTTGTTGTTGTTGTTGTTGTTGTTGTTTTTGTTTTTGTTGTTGTTGTTGTTGTTGTTGTTGTTGTTGTGTTTGTTATTGTTGCTGTTGGTGTTGAACTTTCATTTCTGAATAATAAATATTGTTGATCCCCCCCGTCCGGTGCACATTGTTTTTTCTCGATTGAAGTGCCCTTCCCGGGGCTCGCACCCTGTTTTGTATCAGGGAAAGTCTTGAGGGTCAAACTGTGTCGTTGGCCCCCGGGTTACAACCACAACGGCTCCCGCCTGAGACTTCCCCACAATTTAGCCAGGACCCCCGCTCCCGCCCGAGACTTCCATGCATGTTATTCAGGAGTCGCGCTCTCGCTTGGGACTTCCTTGCAATTTATTCAGAAATCGGTCTACCGGCGCTCTGGAGTCGCGCTCTCTCTGGAGACTTGCTTGCAATTTTATTGGAAAATAGCGTCCTTGCGGCGAAAATTCTTGCAAATTATTCGAGCACCGCGCTCCCGACACCCAGGCACCCAGGAGTCGCGCTCACGTTTAGGACTCGATCACAGATTGCCTAAGGATCGGGATCTCGCTTTGTTTCGTGGCCCCGTTGCAGCCCTTCGTGGCCCCCTCGCTGCCCTTCGTGCTGCCCTTCGTGGCCCGTTGCAGCCCTTCATGGCCCCCTCGCTTTGTTTCGTGGCCCCGTTGTAGCCCTTCGTGGCCCCCTCGCTGCCCTTCGTGGCCCCGTCGCAGCCCTTCGTGGCCCCGTTACAGCCCCTCGCTGCCCTTCGTGGCCCCCTCGCTGCTTTTCGTGGCCCCTTATATGTATGCCGTTCGTGGCCCCCGCTCGTTCGCGCCCGTGGTGGCCCCATATGCATGCCCTTCGTGGCCAAACTGTCGCCATTCGTGGCCCCCTCGCTGCCATTCGTGGCCCTGTTGCTGCCCTCAGTGGCCCCGTCCTTGCCTTCCGCGTCCCAATATACGTATGCCCTTCGTGGCCCCCGTTCGTTCGCGCCCATTGTGGTCCCATGTGCTTGCCCTTCGTGGCCCCGCTGTCACCGTTTGTGACCACCTCACTGTCCTACGTGGCCCAGTTGCTACCTTCAGTGGCCCCGTCGTTGCCTTCTGTGGCCCCGCATCATCTGCCCCTCGTGGCCCTCGATCGGTCGCGCCCGTCGTGGCCCCATGCGCATGCCCTTCGTGGCCCCGTTGTCGCCTGTCGTGGCCCACTTCCTGCCCTTCGAGGCCCCGCAATCGCCCTTCGCAGCCCCCTCGCTGCCCTTCGTGGCTCCGTTGCTGCCCTCAGTGGACCCGTCTTTGCCCTCCGCGGCCCAATATACGTATGCCCTTCGCGGCCCCCGCTGGTTCGCGCTCTTCGTGGCCCCATACGCATTCCGTTCGTGTCCCCGCTGTCGCCCTTCGTGGCCTACTTCGTGTCCTTGTGGCCCTGCTGTCGTGCTCTTTCGCTCTCGCTTTCGCTCGTCGTCGCCGTCGCCGTCGCCGTCGCCGTCGTCGTCGTCGTCGTGGTCGGTCCCCTGTCCGTCCCTCTTAGGGTCGGGTTGACGGTCCGCGGCCGCCCCACCGATCAGCGCTGCCGCTGGCCAAGCCGACGGTCCGCGGCCGCCCCGCCGCTTGTCGGGGCCCGGCCTGCAGGGAAGAAAAGTATACCCCCCAAAAGTGGTTCGATCGAAGACGAAGAGGGCGGGTATCGAGGGTTTGGGAAATACGTGTTATTGGACACTCGAGCAGATACGGGCGAACTGTCTTAACATCATTGTTGTTGTTGTTGTTGTTGTTGTTGTTGTTGTTATTGTTATTGTTGAACACTATTACTTCTAAAGAATTATTATTGTTGGACCCCCTGGTGCACGCCCCCCGCCCAAAACCTAGGCCGCAGCTACATTTTCATCATTTTTCTGCGAAAGCTTCAGAAAAGTGGATTACCCCCGGATCCGGTTTTTTGTTGACGCTCGTTTTCCCTTGCAAAAAACAATAGAAAATGAAAATTCTTGTTCTTAGTTGATCAAATTTCAAGAATCCCTTGCAAAAAATAAGGTAAAGTGGACATTCGCGCTCGCAAGACGAAATCCTTCCAAAACCTTAGGTTTCGTAGCGATTTTAACATAAAAACATCAAAAACCCAATGGTTTTTTAAGAAAAAATTGTCAAAATGTCCTTCCGCGCGCTCTTGCGGATTCATAGGAAACACACCACTTTTTAAACATTTCTGTCAAAAGGGTCTTTGCGTGCTACTTCTTCAGGTGCTTTGAACTTCTCCAACAACGGTTGCGCGCCTGCGAGGGCCACCATCCCTTGCAAAAAATGAGACGAAGTGCACATGCGCGCGGCCGCCGCGCGCGCATGTCGAAATCCTGCCAAACACAATGGGTTTTCAATAATTTCAAGATGCGATGTTCAGAAAACATATGAAAACGCACTACTTTCTCATCCGAAAAATCTCGAAATCCATTCGCGGTCTCTTGATGAATCTTTAAAACCCAAGATGGCCCCAACAGGCGCGCAAGATGGCCCCAAGAGGCGTCCATGAGGCCCAAAGAGGCGCCCAAGATGGTCCCAAGAGGCTTCAAGAGGACTCCAAGAGGCCCCCAAGAGGTTCCAGAGAGGCTCCAAGGTGGCTCCAAGAGACCCCCAAGATGGCCCCAGGAGGCGTTCTAGAGGCCCCAAGAGTCCGCCGTGAGGGTCCAATAAGCCCCCAAGAGGCCCCAAGATGGTTCCAAGGAGCCCCCCAAAGGCTCTCAAGTGGACCCCTAACCGCGCCAGGAGGCTTCCCCCCTTCCCCAAGAGGACCCCAAGCGGCCCCAGGAAGGCCCCCGACTGCTGACGCACATATCCGTAGCCATGGCCAGGCCAAGAAGCTGACGCACATATCAGTGTAACACATGTACTTCTGTAATCGCATCCCCACGAATTTGCCCCAAAAATGTGACCAACTATCTTGGCACTGCGTACCATCTCACGTGTACCGTGTACCACATCATATGTAACAGATGTGATCAACCTCTGTGGGTGTGTACCCCACGCCAGTGTAGTAGCCAGGGTCGTCCGCACGCCACGAAGTGAAGTGTCCCAACGTCATAGGGCGGGAAGCTGGGTGTGGGTGGTCTCGAAGAGTCGTTTGGATATTTGGTAGAGCTTGAACGGCCCCCCCACGAAGTGGGGGTATTGGCTGGTGTCGCAAGAAAACCCTGGCACTGGGGAGAACACTGAGCGTTCGGGTAAAATGATTGTTGTTGTTGTTGTTGTTGTTGTTGTTACTGTTCTTGTTGTTGTTGTTGTTGCTGTTGTTGTTGTTGTTGTTGTTGAGTTCTCACTTCTGAAGAACAATTATTGTTGATTCTCCCTGTCCGGTGCACATTGTTTTTTCGATTGAAGTGCCCTTCCTGGGGCTCGCACCCTGATTCTAATCAGAGAAAGTCTTGACGGTCAAACTGTGTCGTTGGCCCCCGGTTTACAACAACAACGGCTCCCGCCTGATACTTCCTCAATTGATTGAAAAATCGCGCTCTCGCTTTGGATTTGCTTGCAACTTACCGCCGAATTGCGTACCGAATCGCGGCTCCCGCCGGATGGTTCCTGACAGTTTAATCAGATGCCGCTCCTCGACACTCAAGAATCGCGCTCCCGCTACATATTGCCTGGCGGTTCATGCAGAATTTACGCTTCAACGACCCGCCCGCTCGACCCGCCCGTCTGGGCCTGCCCGCCCGACCCGCCCGTTAATTACGGACTGCAGTCGCCGCTCGCTGCCCTTCGCCCGCCTTCGATGCCCCTCGCTGCCCGTACTGGTTCCGCGGTCGCCTTCGCTCGCTGCCCTTCGTGGCCCCGTTGCTGCCCTCAGTGGCCCCGTCGCTGCCCATTGTTGGCCCCGCATTATATGCCCTTCGTGGCCCCCGCTCGCAGTCGCCCGTCGTGGCCCCATACGCATGCCCTTCGTAGCCCCGCTGTCGCCCTTCGTGGCCCTCTCGCTGCCCTTCGTGGCCCCATTGCTGCCCTCAGTAGCCCCGCTGTCGCCCTTTGTGGCCCCATATACGAATGCCCTTCGTGGCCCCCGCTCGTTCGCGCCCGTCGTGGCCTCATATGCGTGCCCTTCATGGCCCCGCTGTCGCCCTTCGTGGCCCCCTCTCTGCCCTTCGTGGTCCCGTTTCTGCCCCCAACGGCCCCGACGCTGCCCTCTGTGGCCCCGGATTAATTGCCATTCGTGGCCCCCGCTCGCTCGCGCCCTTCGTGGTCCCATACGCATGCGTTTCGCTCCCCGCTGTCGCCATTCGTGGCCCCCTCGCTGCCCTTCTTGGCACACTTTCTGCGCTCTGTGGCCCCGCTGTCGTCCGTTGTGGCCCCATATATGAATGCCCTTCGTGGCCCCCGCCCGTTCGCGCCCGTCGTGGCCCCACATGCATGCCCTTCGTGGCCCCGCTGTCGCTTTTCGTGGCCCCCTCTCTGCCCTTCGTGGCCCCGTTTCTGCCCTCAGCGGCTCCGTCGCTGCCCGCTGCGGCCCCTTATACGTATGCCCTTCGGGGCCCCCGCTCGTTCGCGCCCGTCGTGGTCCGCGCCAACAACGGCTCCCGCCTGATACTTCCTCACAGTGTATTGAGAATCGCGCTCTCGCTTTGGACTTCCTCGCAACCATGCGCATGCCCTCCGAAGCCCCGCTGTCGTCCTTCGTGGCCCTCTCGCTGCCCTTCGTGGCCCCATTGCTGCCCTCCGTGGCCCCGCTGTCGCCCGTTGAGGCCCCATATACGAATGCCCTACGTGGCCCCTGCTCGCTCGCGCCCGTCGTGGCCCCATATGCGTGCCCTTCGTGGCCCCGCTGTCGCCCTTTGTGGCTGGCGCAAGCCATGGCGCAAACTGAATCGCCACTCGCAGCGCAAATCATCGTCCTCCCTCCTTCTTGCCTCTCCCCTCCCTTCCTCCGACCCCTTCGTCCTCATTCTCCCCCGGTATATGTTACCCGTCGTGTTCAAGGGCTTCACCAACCACACGTGACAGGGAATGAATCTACCCCCCCAAAGGGGGTACGATCGAAGACGAAGAGGGCGGGTATCCAGGGTTTGGGACATGCATATTGGATGACACGCGAGCAGATAAGAGCCAACAGTCTTAAAATGCGTGTTGTTGTTGTTTTTGTTGTTCGATGTTCATGTATGACGAATAAAAACTGCTGGCCCCCCCCCCTCCGTTATCATAGGTGCTTTCAAATTGAAATGCCAGTCGTAGGGCCCGCGCCCTGTTTTTAAATAGGGAACGTATTCCTCCTCAAACTGCGCGGTTGGCCCCCAGTTTACAGCAACAGCGGCTCCCGCCTGATACTTCCTCACAATGTATTCCCAAATCGCGCTCTCGCGCGGGATTTCCTCATATGTGATGTGCGAATCGCGCTCTCGCGTGGGACTTCTTCGCAATTTATTCAAACGATGCGCCCTCGGCGCTCAGGAATCACAATATCGCTTTTGCTTTTCGCACGGTTCACTTGGGAATCGCGTTATCGCTCGAAACTTGCTCGCGGTTCATACCGGGCCCACGTTTCAGCAACCCGCCTTTCCGGCCTGCCAGCGATGGGTCTGCCCACCCGATCTGCCCGTCAGGTTCTACCACTTGTTTTCTGTTCCTTGCCCCCTCCCCTGCTAATTTTTCCTGTGTTCCTTGCCCCCTCCTGCTAATTTCTCTCGTGCTTCCCAGGGGGGCGCAGGGCGAGCCCCAAGTGGACGACAACGGCCGCCGCCCTGCCGACGTCTACCTGCCGCGGCGGCGCAATGGCACGGCGGCCGCGTCGGGGTTGCGCGCCGATCTCCTCGCCGCGTCGGCCGCTTCGTCAAGCGCGGCGACGGAGCGGCACGAGGAGTTCACAAAACAGCACCAAGACACCGCGCGGCCGCGCGCTGCGCAAGGCTCCGCCTTCATCCTCATGGCCCCACGGCGGCGGCTGGGGCCGCGAAGCACGCGCGGCCTACGGGTTCCTGGCGAAGCGGGTGGTTGACGCCACGGGGGAAGACGCCGCACTGGTTGCGGACCAGCACGCCCAGCGACTTGTTGTATCCCTGCACAGAGAGAACGCGCGGGCGGTGTTGCGGCGCCTCCAGACGCAGTCTGGAAAGGCGGGGGTGGCAGCGGCCCGCCTGGCCGCGGCCACGGCTGCCTCCACGGCGGACGCCGTGTGAGGTGCCCCCAGCGCTGCCTAGCGCCCCCCGTCCACCCGCCCGCCCTTGGGCAGCACGGGCGCCCCCCCCGCCCTTTCGCCAGCGTCGCGCCGGCGACACCTCACGCGCGCCTTCCGGCCCTTCCTCGGCGGGGCGGTGGATGGATCCCGCAGCGGGCAACGCCAACCAAGCCACAACGTGCTGGGTTCGGTCGGCCGCCCCGCCCAGGTCGCCGCCGTAAGGGCCGTAGCCTCGTCGCGGGTGGCTCTTCTCCGCCGGCCCCTGACCTGGCCTGTCTGCTTGCGGTTGATTCCCCTCCCCTCCTCCTCCCTCCCCTTCTGCTCGCTGCTTCCCTCCCTTTCTTTTCCTCCCACTCCCTGCCTGCTGTCCCCGCCTGGCCCCTCTTCTGCCTGCCCGCCCGCCCCGCCGGCCCTGGCCCTGGCCTCCCGCCTGGGCGTTCGTCGTCGTCAGCCTGCTTCTCCCGTCATCGTTCCTTTCCGCCGTGCAGCACAGCCTGCCCGAGACCAGCGTGGCGCATACACATGCAGGTGCCTTTCGTGGTCTGCACGGGTTCTAAGTTTCACAAAAGTTGCCCCGTCAAGTGTGCCATCCTCCCGTGCGAGATGCGCGCCGAGGTGGTTTCGGGGTCGGAGAGTTCGCGGCGTTCGCCCAGGAGGCTTTGCCCGCGCTGTCGCAGTTCCTGTTGCTGGGCGTCGGGGGGCTGTCCGCGCTGCTGCACCACCGCGCCCGCTATTGGCAGCCAATCCGACAATCGTCCTACGGAGATGTTTGGCCTTGTGGCAAACAGTGCGCAGCCGATTATCCAGACGATCTTGTGCAGGGCATTCAGCGCTGAGGGAGTTCAGGATAAGACTGCCGAGGCCGTGCGAGGGAGCATCGGCATGACAGCTTTGCATATCTTCTGCTTGGCTTCCTCTACACGCCACCCGCCCAGCTGTTGCAAACTGCTCCCCAGGCGCCAACACCCCTTGTGTAGCCGCTCTCAGTGCGACGGGGGGGAATATTCAGCTCCCTCCCCCTTCCACCCGTCCTCTCTTCCCCTGTTTTAAGGGCTGCACTCGATGCATGTGGCAGGTAAGGAAGATATACCCCCAAGGGTGCGATCGGAGACGACGAGGGCGGGTACCGAAGGTTTGTGATATAGGTATGGATTAGCACGTGAGCAGATAAGAGCGAAGAGTCTTAATATGATTGTTGCTGTTGCTGTTGCTGTTGCAGTTGTTACTGTTGTTGTTGTTGTTGTTGTTGTTGGTGCCGTCGTCCTCGCCCGCGACCCGCCTGCGACCCACCCCGCGACCCGCCCCGCGACACACCCCGCGACCCATCCGGCGACCGCCTCGCGACCCACCAGCGACCCACCCACACTGCTGACTGAAAAATCGGCGCCTGCGGCGGGCTCGTGGTATAATTTGATTGATCAACGCCTGCGGCGGGAGCGCTGTATATCATTATCAGTATTATTACCTGTATTATCAAAAATATTCTTCGTGTTAAGATTATTAGATGATTGCTATTACTACTGTTCGTATTGCTATTATTATGGCTAATGGGGAACAGCAAACAACAAAATCGGCGCCTGCCGCGGGCTTCTTCAGAGCCCCGCAGGGTGCTGACGACCCCGCCGCCCCCTCACTCTTGTCCGCAACTGCGGGGTGCTACGCATTGTTCTGGGTGACGGTCGTTGCCCCAGGGGGCGGGGCTCTGGGCCCTGGGCAGCGGTGACGCTCTGGCGGGCTGCGGCACGAAGTGGCGGGGAGGGGCTGCGATCGCAACAAGGTGCGCCCAGCACCAGCATATCGGCGGGGCCCAAGCCCACCCCATAGGTACCGACGTCACCACTACCCCATAGGGGGGGGGGAAGGGCGGTAACCACCGAAATGCGCCAAATGAGAAAATGCCATCTCCCGTGGGACGGGGGGCGGGGGCATGCTCGGAACGCTGACGCCTAGTGACCGAGACGTGCCGAGCAGGACATCGCGGCGCGTAAGGGCAGGTGCAGGCGGCGCGGCACCCTGGGCAAGAGCTCCTGCCGGCATCCCTGCCCCCGTCCCCTAGCCTCTGGGCCGCTTCCTCCCCATGCCTCACGGGCGGCAAGCATCTCCGTATATCCGCGCCCTTGCGATCTGGATTCCGGGGCGCGCTCCCGCGGACACGCGGTCGCACGGGTATACGTTCCGCTCGAGGCATCCGCGACAAAGGCGCCCCGTATCTCCGGGGCCGCGGCCCAAGGGCCGGGCCCGCGAGGGTCGCGGATACCGGTGTCTCTTCGCCCACGAGCGCTTCATCCACCGGGGCAGTGTCCGTCCGCCAACCTTCGGTGCAGTGCGCCGCGTACGCTTGCTCGACCTCTGCTTCCGAGCCCTGAGGCTTCGTGTACACCTCAGCGAGACGCCGACTGCAAACCTGCTGCGGTCTCGGCCGGGCCGATCCTGGCCCCAGCATCGGGGTACACGCCCTCCCGCCCCAGGCGGGAGGGCGTGCACGCCGATTCCAGGCCAAAGGTCAGGGCAGGTGTGCACTTGGCGTATCCTGGCGCCTTGATCTCTCCAGATCCCGTCGACACAACGGAAGCACCCTCCCAATTCGTCAAGACGACAGAGGCGTAGTTTGCCCGCCATGGCTGGGTATCTCTGCTGGCCACGACAGGCACCAGCTCGCCGTCGCCCTGCAGCATCTGCGGTACGGCGACCAAGTAGGTGCCGTCCGAGGTCGCTACTGACACGCGGATCTCGATGGAATCCCTGAGCTCACACTTGACGTGAGCCATTGGACTCTTCGATACCTCGATGATTGCACCGTCCTCGACCAGAGTTTTGATTACCTGCGTGCCGTCGGCATGCACGATGATCTTCTGGGTGTCATCGGGGTCCTCGTACATTGTCAGGCCCTTGGAGTTGGTCATGGTCTTATGCTTCGTCATTATGTCCACTTGTCTTGCCACTGCCACTGGCTCAATGACATACTCAATGATGTCGCCATCGTCGACAAAGTAGCCGCCCACCTTAAGGGAGACTCCAGAATGTACCGATCTGACAATGTGCAGAAGGAGGAAAGGGTGGGAGATGGGGTACAGGCGGAAGAAAACGGACTTGACGTTCCATAAGAGCCTACGTTGCCAAAAGTTTTGAATATCACGAAAAAATCACGACCGTAACCGTGGCCCCCATCTGTCTAATTCAAGTTTCAAGCTAGATCGATCTGTGATGGTCCTGGGGCCAGAACACAATCGAAGTCGCCCAATGTGAGAGGAAACATTTATCGCCTGGATCTCATGGTTTGTACTGATACCGCTACTCCCCAGATCTCTTCCAGGGTGCAGCCGGACCAGAATTTCGAGGAGAATCCAGCCGTGGCGACGAAAACTCTCCAGGACGAGCAAAGGCATCGGGATCCTTCCCTCCTCCGGAGTGCAAGCGGAAGAGGAGAGGCTTGGCGTTTGCGTGGTCGATTCCCCGTGGCCGCCAGCTCGTGCAGCTGCGGGGGCGGCGGCGGAGGCGGCGGAGGCGGCGCTGGCTCCGGCTCGGGGGGCGGCTCCTCCTTCGCGGCGGCCTTGCCGCCCTTCTTGGACGCGGCCTTTTTGGGGGGCGAGGAGGCGCACAGAAGGCCTACAGTAGGGGCCCGACCACAAGAAACCTTCCGCAGGAAACCTGACCCTGAGACCCCATGACGTCCAATTATTCATGCTGTGGGAACGCCACGCTCTCCATAGCGAAACCCAAGAAGCCCAGGGCACCCTCGAGGCAAGCAGGGTGTTTTTTTGCATGGGCCTCCACAGTACTTGGAGGACAGATTGCCCAGATCTTCGACGATACGATTTTTGTTGCACCCCGTGGTCTCTTCTGGACTTCGGCCTCGGGGGGCCGCCGCCGGGCCCCGAGTCCATCAAACATGGATCCGGGACGCAAAAAACTACGGCAGAGGGACACAATTAGCGAACACCCCCCCGCCCCCCAAACTCAAAGATGGCACGCGCGGGGGAGACTGCGTGCAACTCAGCAGACCCACCGCCAACTTTGAACACTGGGGGGAGGGGGAGGCGTTCACAGATGGGTGTGGCGTGCGTGTTCGCTATTTTTCTCCGAGGCCTCCACCCCCGGGGGAAGCGGTCGGGACCTCTGCACGAGGCCGCAAACTGAAGACATCCCTTCGGCGGATGTCGACGATGTTTGTTTCAAACGGGCGCCCGTCGGCGGCTCGTTTGCGCCTCGTGCTCTGGCTGGCATGGCCGCGTGTTCGCCCGGTGGGCGACCGCGGGCGCCTCGTGGGCGCCTCGTGGCGCTGGTCGGCGTCTCCGGACGCACACCTAAGTACACCCTGCGAAATGCTTAAGAAATCATGGGTTAAGAAATTCATACTCTCAGAATTTGAATTAGAACTCAACATTTCTATTAAAAATTAAGATTTACATTGAAACATTAAGAATAATCGAGACTCTGACCGAAAACTTAGGTTTTCTTAAGCATCGCCTAAGGTGTAGAGTGCACCACGTAGCTTGCAGCAAATTTGCAAGGTTTTGAAGCACCGCTGAGAGCCTGTGAATTGAGCGACCACTCACGCACAACATAGTGTCAGCGACGCAGATTCACCGTATACATGGGAACACCCCCCCTGCACTACACCGCGAGCGCTGCCGTCGGGATGACCACCCCCGCCGTCATCGCCGCCATCATCGATGTCGTCGCCATCGTCCGAAATTTCTGCGTCAAGGCACTTCGGCATGAGCATCACCAGCACCACCGTCATCATCATCGCCAGCGTCATTGTTGGCTCGTCGTTCTCACCATCACCACCGGCTCCATCACCACCAACACAATCGTCGTCGTTGAGATCGCCTTCACCGCCGTCATCAGCATCACCAGAGTTATCGTCATCGTCGTTGTCGCCGCCTCTAGAATGTGGGCGGTTCGGTGAGATATTTGCGCAAACAGTTGAGTTGACGACTTCAATATTGACAAGTGAACTGGCTGCACCGAATGACCAGATTGCACCAAATTGTTTTCAACAAATAGCTTGCACCTGACAGCCTGCACCACATACATTGCAGCACGTGAGTGCGTTTCGTATATTGCACGAAATTGACGGCTCCCCATGTGCTACCCAGCCGGATATGCAATAACCCAATGTTTGAGACCGCGATCGCAGAAGTGTGACTTCCCCGTTCCGGCACAAAGCGCAGGGATATCAGAGAACCCACGTATGCTGCAACAAAGGAGTGCCTGGCACATGGCTGCTTCTGTTCTTTGCGGAGCTGAGGATGGGTTCCATCTCGAAGCGAAGAGGCCCACCGATCACAAGCGAAGTCATGCTGCCTCCTTCACTCCGCCGTCTCCTCCACATGCTACCCCCCCTCCCTCTCTCTCTCTCTCTCACGCTCCCTTTCTCCCTCTATCCCTTGTCTCTGCCGCCCTGCCTCCTACCAATTGGCCCCGTGCACGCCGCACTCACCACTGGCCGTCATGCTGCCATGAGGAACGCTGAACACAGAACCGTAGGACCGTAGGGCTGGTCTGGCCACGGCGAGCCTCGGCCACGAAACGCTCCCCCGACCCACCTCTCAGGAGCGGCCCCCACACCAGAGCCGCTCCTGAGCCCCAAAAGGTCCGCATGTCGGCATCTTGCCTGAACTGGTCGGGGATCCTCCGACCCGGGTCAATCCAGACCCGGGTCAGTCAGGCCCTGCAGAATCCTGCAGATCCTGCATGATCCTGCGCCCAGGCCCGGGTCAATGCGAGGGATCCCAGGATCCTGCACCCAAACCCGGGTCAATGCGCCCCTGGCCCTGCAAGATCGGGCGCTCTGGCTGACCCCGGTCACACTGACCCCCGTCTCAAGGCTCCCGAACTGGTCGTCCCAGCGATCAGCCGGCCAGAATCCACCGCGGCCCCACGACCTGGAGGAGGAAGAGGCGGGAGGAGGAAAAGGGTGGGCGCTCGCCCGCGGCCCGTCGTGGGCATCAAACAACTACAACAACAGCAGCACCACCAACAACAACAGACTCTAGGACGACCGTCGGCGCCGTCTGCATGACATTGCCTCCCCTGCACTGGTCGTCATGCGTGCAGTGCGGGCGCGGCCGCAAGAAACCGTCGCAAGAAACCCAAGCCTGAAAACCCACGCGCGAGGTGCACCTGAGGGGAAGCCCGGAGCACCCAGACCGCAGCAGCTTCTTCAACGGCTGCGGGAAGTCCCCGCGGCCGAGCCAAGAGACCCGGGATACCCTGACGAACAGCCTATGGTTTCTTGATGCGCGCCCCCCCTGTCCTCTGCTGCCTCCAACTGCAGCTCATCCCCACAAGCGCCGACTTCTCATGCCGACTTGCAATGCGGGAGGCACGCCCGCCACAGGTTGACATTCCTCGCGGTGCTCGACACGTCTGCTGCTGCCGAGGTTGGACCTCCATGGGACTGGCAGTTTGGTGCGCAGTCGAGCTTCTGCCATGAGGAACGGGAAAGCACGAACGACATCTCCACTCGCCCCACAAAACGCGCCTGGGTGGAGGGGCGCTGGAGGAAAAATCACAAGAGGATCTCAGGAAGAGCGCCCCGTTTCCGAGCCCGACCTGCTCCTTCTTCCAGCGCCTTGGCTCTATGGGCCGGTTGGTGCTCGCTACCCTGCGCGTAGGAAGAAGCGTTCGACGTCGACAAATTTCAGAGAATCGGATGCATGGAACACGAAGGCTCCAGCGCCTACTCTGGCCGAATTCTGTTCGTTCCCGTCAAAGCCCGAATCTCGCACCCTCAAGGCAGCGGATGTTTGGAAGGGCTTGCCCCGGAACGCACCATCCCCTTCGTCGGGTCGTTTCTTGATCAGCACTGGGTCCTGCAAACTGCCCCCAGAGGCGGCATCCCCGAGCCCAAACGCCTACGATGACTTTCTCGCGACGCCTGACGGTCTGGGTATCCTCTGCTTCGGTCCATCTGCGTTCGCCCAAAAACTGTCCTCAGACCCCTCCAGCGACAGCATCCTGGCAGCGCTTTCGAGCTGCGTCCACCCGTGGCCACACGGGCCCCCGAGGAGACCCCGCCACGAGAGCCCAAAACTCCAAATACCATCTCCCACTCCCTCCTCCCGCTCCTCCTCCTCCTCCTCCTCCTCCTCCTCCTCCTCCTCCTCCTCCTCCTCCTCCTCCTCCTCCTCTGGTGATCTCATCGCGACGTTACGCCCAACGGCCCAACACCTCTCGACCCCGTCCTCGGGACCTGATTTCCCCCACGTGCCGATGTTTGATGGTTCCGGGGCCAGACACACCGAACATTCTCCTGTCGCGACTCTTTCCGCGATGTCTCAAGATCTGAATCCTCCCTCCTTCCGAACATTTAACCAGACAAACCTGGCGGCGCTGACTGGCACCAAACTGTGGGGGTCGAGAAAGACGGTCCCTGTCGCGGGCCCGTTGTGTTCTCTTGCTTCTCCCCCTCCTTCGCTGCCACCCTCTCCTTCTTCTTCCTGGCGTCACCTAGACACGAAAGTCGCAGCGACGACCTGAATAAAAAAACGGAAAAAGGAAAACTGAGGAGCACCTCTCTCTCTCTCTCTCTCTCTCTCTCTCTATATATATATAGATAGACTGACTCGTGTAACTATATATATATATACACATGTAGACGCGGAGTCGACTGCACCGTGCAGGGGCGCACATCCAAACGGGCTGCGCCGATCCACCGTCGCAGAGGGCGTGGCAGGCGCGCTGCACTTGGCGCGCCCATCGCCCCTTTCCACATCATGGGAAACGGACTTGTCAAATCAGGGGCCAGAGAAGAAAGATCGGGTCGGGCGAAAGGGGGGGATAGCAAAGGGGGGGTTTGAGAATCAGCTCGCGTAGCTGATTTTCCCGGCGCCTCCCGGCGCCGGAGGCGGCTATGTATCGAGGAATGGGCCGCTCGGTGAGGCCGAAACCAGCTGCATGCAGCAAATTTCGTAACCCCCCCTTTCCCAATCCCCCCCTTTCGCCCGACCCGAAAAGAGGAGGCTGCAGCGCCACCACTCTGCCCTTTGCCTCGTCGCAAGCCCTGGATCGTCTTCAGTTCCGTGTCCGCCGCAAGCTCCTTCGCCTCGACGTACGCGCAACAGCCGGCCAGCATCACAACGTTGTCGTTTTCGCATTCCACGCCATCAGCGTCCCTGCCGCTGTTCATCGTCTTGAATTTGTCCACCGCGCCCGCGGCGTCCATAGATGCCGCCATCTTTAGGCCGATGAAGCCATGGTCCGCGACCTTCTTGTAGCCCATCGCCCATTCCTCCGCCGAGTCTTGCGATCATCGCCAAACCTGCCCTCGACGGTGCCACCCACCGCCGCCGATGAAGATGAAAGCGTCGTACACCTCACGTCTTCTGCCCTGCCGCACTCTTCGCATCTGTGCGACCGCGGATGTAGGAAGGACGGAGGCACTTTCCGAATGCGCGTTTCCTCCTCTTCGTGATCTGTGTAGCATTCGCCCTGCGAGTGATAAATTGTCACAACTCTGGATCCACCCACCCCTCTCGTATATGGACGTATCTGTTGCCACCGGGGTCGCCTGGAACACGCTGAGGTTATGCCGGCCATGCCGGACACGTTAGAAAGACAGGCGCGCTGGGGGGGCATGCGGGAGGTCTTGAACTCCGTCATGTCGGCGGTGATGAGGTCGCGTGCGAACTCGTTGGAGCTGATGCTCCCGCTGCCGTCCTTGTCCACTCTTCCAGACGGCCGTCGCCGACAACTTGGAGATGTTTGGACTCCCTTGTTTGAATAGCGCATTGAATTCGTCGGGGCTGATCTTGCCACTGACATCACTGTCCGCCATCATCGTCTTGGTAGGGGCGCCGCCCAGCAAGGAAACCTGGCGCGACAGCGGCCCAACAAAGACAACCACGGACGAGCAAACAGACGGACGGATACCATTGCGGGCCCCAGATGAAAAGGAAGGAGAGGCACCAGCGCGAGCCGTGCGAGAAGACGAAGAAGCACGGTTGCGGGCCCCAGCAGCAATAGAAGAAGACGAACTGGCTGCATTCGGACGACTGGCAGCCGGCCTAGCACCACCAGGGACGCCCAGGCATGGCCTCCGCCAGGCACGGCTGAGCTCATGCTGATCGACCTTGCGGTCACTCAAGAAGCACTCTCACCACGAGTCCTGCGCATGATATCCGAACGCATGGCGTCCGGAATCGGCAGACAAACGACTGCGGGTCATGGAGCCCGCCCAAAACTGCAATCGGGCCCTGGCGCGGTGCCAGCCCTTCTCGTCGTAGGCGATGCCCTGCCGCGCCTGGTTGGCAGGTTGGCCGGCCACGCGCGCGGGGCTGAGGTGCGTGAGCGCGCCGTCATTCGCCACGATGTGGGCAGTGGAGTCCTTCTGCGCACAAGCACGAGCACGGAGAGCGGCCGCACGCTGCCCCCCGCCCTCCTGCGTGGCAGAGAGCTCAAGATCAGCTGTCTGGAGGGCGCTCAGGGCGCGGCCATTCATGGCCAGACACTCGCTGAGAGGGTCGGCGCAAAGGACGCGTTCCCTGACGTCGATCAGAGGAGCAACTCCCAGGGCTGTCTTGAAGACGTGGTCCATATCTGTATCTTGCTCAGCCGGACAACGGGGCCCCGGCAAAAGGTATAGAGCTGCGTGCTCAGGGTTGGGCAGTCCATCAGCGGCCGCATCTTCAGGGCTTACGTGGTCGCCTCCTGCGCGCAGCCGAGTGTGCGCCAGGAGCTGGCGAAGCAGCGGACGGGCGCCGCGCGCCCCATAGCGTGCTGCTCCAGCAGCTTGGTGACCGCCTGCACGAGCATGCCCTTGGCCTTGAGCATCTGGGGCAAGACGGCGGCGGACGGGTACAGGTCTGGCAGGTGCCACTTGCCAGGTTTCACGGGGAGTTGCGTCTGCGTGTGGATCTAGTGGAACACTGGCAGTTCCACCCGGCATACGGCGCCGCAAGAGTTGCGGGGAGGGGCATCACAACGGTCTGGTCGCACCGTGTGCGCCACCACTGGAGGAAGCGGTCGTAAAACTGGCGGCCGTGCACCAGCTGCTTGCCGACCACCGCCAGAGACAGAAAAGAACCCTCGTTGCGCCACGGGGTGGCGAAGGCAGGAATCAAGCCCACCACGCCAAGGGGTGTTGCGACGGCGAAGCGTCGGGGTCGTCAGCGACGCCAAGGGCTGAGCCCCCAGGGGCGTCGCCGGTCTGCTCCTGGTCGTCGCCGCTGCGCGCATCAAGCATGCGGCGTTGCACCGCAAGCTGAAAACACTGCACGTGGCAAGCCAAGGCCGACCCGCTGCAACTCTGCGCGGGCAGCGTCGCGGGTGCCCTCGTGCTCGGGACGGTCCCGCTTGGCACCAGCGTCGGCTGTCGATGCCGTCCCAGAGGTAGGTGTCCATCACCGCGCGAGCATCAGTGACCGCCGTGCGGTGAGCCTTAATCATTGTCGCCGCCACTCGTCGAGTAGGGCGGGCGCGAAGGCGTCATCGAACTTTTGCCGAAGGTCGCCGTTCGGCCGGGCGGCGTAGCAGCCCGGCACGCCGCGGCCGGCAATGGCGACGCGGGCCTGGGCCTCGTCCACCACGGCCTTGTTATCGATCTAGACCCGGAAGTCGTGGCCCACGGTGGTGGCCAACATGATCAGGGGAGCGAGTTCAATACGAGTGGTCGTTTGAATGAAGCCCGGGAGAGGATAGCACCATCGGTGCCACTGGAGCGACCGGTCAGCCAGATGCACACGGAAGACCACCCCGCTGCTTGCAATCACCAGTAGGGTCAGCGGAGCGGTCGCTGAAGAAATTCACGAACCCGTCGTCGACAAACGTGCGCGGAGTTGTTCAATCTGGCGGGGCCGTAGGAACGCAGCTCTCGAGATGCGCCCAGAAGGCGCGCTCAGCATCCGTAGTCTGGACAATTCCGACCGTGGCGATGACATTATTGGGTCAGCAATCTCTGGGATGGCCTCCCGGTCCTTGTTATGCAAGCAGCTGCAGCGATACCTTTGGGGGACCGTTTCAACCTCGGCGCCGCAAGGGCACACGGCATCGACCTCGTCGCTGGCGATCTTCGCGAACTCCTTCTGGTGTAGACAGGCCTGGTGAGGCACACGACAGGAGTGCCAGCAGTCAGGTCCACGAGGTCGCGGCTGTGGTCCGACGTGGTGGCCATGTCGATGCGGATGCGTAACTAGTCCGCAGCGGCCGCGGCGATAAGGCACTCGGCCTGCTGGCGGCAGCACGCCAGCAGATGGCCGCGCACCCGGCACGAAGGATCAGCCAGGCGCCAATCCGCCCCCCCAGAGTAAGACGAAACCAGGACGAAGATGCAATCGGGTGAAGATACATCGCGAATATCGGCGGATCTGGAGGATGTCTCGGACGCCGCGGCCTTCTTAGAGCGTTCCCGAACGCTCTGAAAGCGTTCCGGAGCGCTCTGAACGGATGTCTCCTCGTCCCAACCCCGCTGGGCGGAGTCCCGCCTGCGTCCGACCACGTCTCCCGCAGGAGCTGGATCGGCAGCGCGTCAGGAAGCGCGCGGGCAGCAAAGAGTGCCGTCAAGATCCTTGCGGCCCTGTCTGCCGCACCTTGGCCAGACAGGGAGACAAAGCTCCGCAAGCCCAGCGTGAGGCGGCACAGCAAGATACCAAACATCGGAGTCTTGATAAAGATCTTGACGCCACCGCAGAACAAGCATGTTGCTTGTTAAGTCAATATTGCGTTTCGTTGTCTTGCCTTACGGGACTTCAACGCAAGACGTGAGTGTACACGGTGGTCTGCTTAGAAACGTGGGATACTTCGGCACCCCAGACAGCAGGCTGCAACGCCCCAGCGGCGACCACGGCAACCTTCTTGGCACGAGGAATTGGCGACACCCCAAGACGATGCAGAAACTCCTGGGCCTTGCGAGCTCGCTGAGCCATGGTCGGCTCCGCACGGGCATGGCCAGTAATTCGGGTGAGCACCAAGCTCATGTGCGCGGCCCCTCGTGAGGGACCACGGTCCCATTCGCAGCCGCGTAGCGGGCCTCCCGTTTTGAACTCCCGCCGGCAGCACCCAGGGGCCGAGGGCCAGGTCCAGCCAGTGAACCTCCAGGAACTTCGACTTGAGTCTAGGAAGCTTGGCCCTGAGACTCATCAGCCTCCACTCGAGAGACATCATCGGCGCCAGTCTCCCGAGACAAGTGGCCCTGCTTGGCACCTGCTTTGAGCCAACGTGGCGTGAACTTTGGCCCAAATGGCTAGCTCCTCCTCGTCGTCCTCGTCATCCTCATCCTCCTCCTCCTCTTCCTCCTCCTCCTCCTCCACATCCTCCTCCTCCTCCTCCTCCTCCTCCTCCTCCTCCACATCCTCCTCCTCCTGTCCAGCCGGAGCTGTTGCAGCCGTGCTCATTTCCCCCCCCCCCCCTGGGGGAACCACTCGTACCGACAATCTTTGAGAGGAAGTCGAAGCCGATGGGCCATCCAGGGGGAGTAGGAGGCACCTCCTGGGAGGTGGTCGTAAACACGATCAAAGGCTAGTGTTTGGCGGAGAGCGCGAGGGGGAACTGAGAAGGAGAAGGCCTTCTCTGAAGACGGCCCGACTTCTCAGAAGCCCCCGCGCCTTCTGATAATTTTTGTTGGTCTTCGGGGAAGGCTTAGAACACTTCTCAGAAGGCCAGGGGACTTCCGAACCTTCTGAGAAGGCCTTCTCCTTCTCACTTCCCCCCATCGCTCGCCGCCGAACAATGCCCGACTAGGGAGTCACTAAGCCAGATCAACCTGGATCCGGCCCACGATTAAGACGGACTGAGCAGGATTGAGTGAGATCCAGCGGAACTAGACCGGCCTAGGCTGGATCAGTCTGGTTGTCGACCACGGATCTGCCAGCGCCGGTGCTGAATCTAAACTCACACAAAGTTGCATCCTGAAGAGGGTGTCGATGCCGATGGGCCCCTCAGGAAACAAGGAGAAAGAGCACAGCGCCCCCACTTGTGGCTGGTCCGTCTTGCTTCCCGTCACAAGATCAACCAGCGTCAAATCCAGACTGATTGGGGTGCATCGGCATCATGTCGACATCGAACTGGATCGGCCGCGTCACGATGCACAACAGCGCCACTCGAACACCATGACGCACAGGATGGCCGGAATATCGGAATCGGATCGGATCGGGCTGGCCGAAATCGACATCGGAGAAGTATCGGCTTTCGGCGGTATCTGGGTGGGTCGATACTTGGGTCTCCCTCCGGCGGCCGTTCGGGATGATTCGGGTACCCTTGGCACGCCCTTGTCGAGGCGCAGCTGCTGGCAGGATCCTGGGGCAGGAGAACCTCCAGGGAGCCCACGAAGACCTGCGAAAACCCCCGAGCCCAAAGCGGAGGAACTCATCGCCAGGCTTGCAGGACGTCGCCAGGGTGGAAGAACATCGCCGTGGCTAGATCTGGCTAGATCTTCGCAGCAGACACCGTGCGCCGCTGGCCTTCTTGACGTCTGCCGGCTCCGGCTCCGGCGTAGGCGGCTTCGGCGGCGGCGGGGGCGGCTCCGGCGGCGGCGGCGGAGGCCTCGCGGACGCCGCGTGGGGGCGGGGCGGGAGGAGGCGAGCGCGCGAGGGGGCGGCGGCGGGGGCGGCGGCGGGAGAGCCCCTCGGGCGGGAGGGGCGGGGGCGGGAGAGTTAGGTCGGGCCTGTCCCCTGCAGGGGGATGTTGGGCGAAACGTTCAAAAAATATTCCGACAATACTCCCCAAATGCTCGGAGATAGTAAAAAAAAATGTCCCCGAAGTCCTCTCGAATGTGTAACGATTCGAACGCATTGCCCATCTACTGGGGGCCCAGACTTCCGGCGTATGGAAAGAGTCCAGGCGGAGGCTGCTCGTAGTTTCTTCGGCTTCTGGCAGCGCCCTCGCCAGGACCCCCGGGCCGTCCACAGAACGGCTCAGGACGAAAAGCTGGCCCTGGGGAAGGGGTCCGGACTTCTGGGGACCCCGGCCTGCCAAAATCAAGGCATCGGGCCTCTGGGGAGGATCGACGAGGAGGTGTTGGGAGGCAGCTCGCTGCGAGGTCTGCGCAAGATCTGTTAAGGGCCACTGCTGGGCTCGATGCATGAACTGTGAAGCTGGATCGCCCCAGATTAAGCCAGATTGGGCAACACTAGACGGAATTCAAGAGGATGTGCCGATGCTGGATTGAACCTCCGAGGAGTTGCATCCGAAAGGAAGGATCGGCGGGGAGGTGGGCGGGGGGGAAGATCTCTGGTTTCTGCTGGCCTGGGGGAGCCGCTAACTGCCACGGCTGCGGCGCAGCTCGGAGAGCTTGCTGCTGGGATGGTGCCCGGGAAGATTCCAGGAACTGATCTTGAGCGGCAGGGGCCGGGCAGGTGACGCCAAGGACCGGGGCCGTCCAGGAAGCGGGGGGACCAAGAGGGGGGGGCCTGCGAACTATGGCCAGAGGCACGTGCGCGGGCAAGGGGGAGCCAAAGGACGCATTTCCGGTGGCAACTCATGTGAGCTTCCAATACCATCTTGACGGCTTTTGCGAATCGACGCTGAGTCGACGCTCATCGACGCTAGCCGACGCTAACTCGGCGCGCTATCTCATCGACTCCCAGACGCTAACCGACGCCAATCGACGCTAAGGACGGAATGAGGAGGGTCTACCAGGCTCCCGTGACTTGCCACCGAGCGCATTGAGAGAGGAAAAGGGGGCCGTGAACTCCAGCGAGAGATATCACGGCCCCGCCCATGCCACCCCCCCCGCTCGTCAACCCCCTCTTCTCGGCCGCCCCCGGAAGGGAAGGGAGGGGGGGGGGCCCGGGCGGGTTACGTACGCCTTGCTGGGCCTCCTGCGAGGGCTGTCGTCGCCGCGGCCGCCGCGAGGTCTCGGGCGTGGAGTGCACGGGGGTGCGCTCAAAAAGGGCAGGCTGAGAGAGACGTGCACCCTTTTTGTGCCCGAAAGGGCCCTCCCCCCAGGCCCAACAGGGGCACGACAGGTGCACGCTTCTTCACCCCCCCCTCCCTGTACCTCTCCTGGGGCGCGTTCTGACAAGGACTTCGAAGCGAATCCAGCGGCGGCGACGAGGGCCGCCCAGGAGGCCGACAGTAGAGGACAACGAGGGAAGGGTAGAGGTATTTGGTGCCTCTCCCTCCTCCGAGCATCGCCCCTCCGTGGACGCCCGAGGAGGCCCCGATCCGAGCGCGGTCATGCCCCGGTGTGTGCCCCGGGGGTCGACCTCGGGCGGGGCGCCCACGGCCCGCGGGCCCCCCCGAGCGTGGCGACGAGGCCACCCCCGTGCGGGCGGTGGCCTCCCGCGTGGCCCTCCGCGGGCCCCGCGGGGCCCCGCAGGGAACCGCTCGCGGCGAAGGAGCGGGCTCCGGGGGGGGCTCGAGGGCTGCTTCGGGGCCCGCGTGGGCGCAACGCCGGATGCAAGGGGGACAGTACATGGACATTATGTTCGAACCCTGTGGCCCAAGATGCCCCCCAGACCCCCGAAATTAATATTGGTGGCGTGGCGACGGGGGGGGGCGTGAGTGGACAGAAATTTTCGAACCCCAAAGCACCGCCTTTACTGAGATCAACATTGATGTCGGGGGCGCGGGGGTGATTTAGAATCTACCTCGAATGTGTAAGGGTTCGAATCTATTGTCCACGTACGGGAGGGCCAGCGTGACGCCGCCCAGCGTGCACCTGCACAGGCTCCTCGACCTGCGCGCGGAGTCTGTGCGAACCGCTCCGGCGATGGCAGCCGCTCTGACGGGGGCGGCGAGGAAGAGGGGGAAGCGAGCAGGAGCGGGGTGCGCAGGAGGCGGCTCACCATTTCCGCTGAGGTGCACGGGCGGAGGGGGAGGCGACGCACGGAACCGCGTGTGTGTCGTGTACACCGCGACGCCCCCCCGTATGGACTAGTTGAAAAGAGAAATCGGATTACGAGGATGAAGACCAGGAGGAGCAGGAGTTCGCGGAGGCCGTGGGGTTTCCCTGGGGAGCTCTAGCTCCAAGGAGACGCAGGAACATTGCAAAGAGGGCTCTGGGAGCACGAAACCCTGCTCCTGAAAGCTTCGGCGGTCCTGCGGGGACTCTCCGACGATTTCTGGGAGGGCAGCGACTAGAACGTGGTGGGTTATGGAAACCCAGAACCCGAGCCCCCCGAAAACGCCACTTCCCTGGGGCGCCCGCCGTCGGAGGCGCCCTCGCTCTGCTCCTGCCGGCCAACCGCCGCACTTCCGCCGCCGCAGAGAGGCCCCAGCCTCCGGCCCCTCGGAGACGAGGCCCTTTCTGCAACGCCTCGCGTGCGTGGCTCGCCGCGGGCCTGGAGGGTGGGCCAGCGGGGGTGCTGCAGTGAGCAGCAACAAGAGAGGACCAACCGCTCCTTTGGGAGGCGACCAAGAAGTCGGGAGGCCAAAAACAGACAGGGGGTCTTCTCTGCGGGTGCATCCAACCCCACCGCCCACATATCCATTGTCCCTGATGCAAAGACGGGGACCTCAGTCAGGCCACGCCGTCTCATGTCATCGAGGTTAGGGGCTCCTTCCTTTACCCTCGACGGTGCCAATCCGCCCCCCCTCTCCGAGCACGCCTCTCCTCCGGGAGCCCCCTTGCCTGGTCACCTCGCGGGCGACGCTCCCTCCGGGCCATGGCAGCCGTCGGGCCCCTTCTCCGGTCTCGGCGGCCCGTGGGTGCAGCCGGGCGCGAACGGGGGCTGCCACGAGGGGGCCCGGGGGGCGGGGGAGGGGTGCTCGCAGCCTTCGTGGGTCTCGGCGTGGCTCCTCGTGTCAACCCCTCTCTCTTGTGGTTGGCTGTCCGTCTCTCTCTCTCTCTCTCTCTTTCTGCCCTCTTCCTGTCTGCTCTCTGTCTCGGCTCTCCGCTCTCCGCTCTCTGCTCTCTCTCTCTCTCTTTCTCTCTTCGCTCCTCCTCTTTTTCCGCTCTGATGATACGTGCTGCTCATCCTGCCTATCCTGATTCCACCATGGGGACAGGCCATTAAAAGCACACGCGGCCCGAGGCTCTCCGTCCCCGTCTGGGTACAAGTGGGTCGTGGGTCGGGCCCTGGTCCTATAGACGCCGGCCCGTGAAAGGTGTCGGACTTGCCGCGGCGCGGGAGAGGACGATCCCAATGGCGAACGCAGGGCGAAGTACAGCCGGCCCGTATCATAAGGATGCGCGATAAGGATGCAAGGGGCAAGGGCCTTGGCAGGCCATCTCGAAGCTTCTCGAGCGGGGCGCGGCCAACGAAAGTGGCCAAGGATGGACTGAGAAGGCAAGGATGCGAGGGTACCCTTGGGAAGATTTCCCATCATTACTATGCAGGCTGACTGTATCCAAGTCCTCCCCAACACCGGCTGAGGCGAGCTGGGCCATGCTGCGCGGATGTGGGAAGCGAGATGGCCTTTCTGACCAGGTATGCCCCATAAGGCACAGCAGTGGATGGGTGGGGCCGTATTCTTTGCGTGTCCGCGTGTTGTTGTTGCGATGGTAGGCTCGCTTGTCGTTGAACATCGTCCTTGCAATTCTTTCGGTGTCGTGAACGTGCGAGCAGATGGTGCAGTGGTAGCGAGATCTGGCATTGCGCCTAGGACATGCTGTTTCAGGTGAACACCGCTATATTCTTCAGTAGTCCCTTTTATATCAGCGGGTACGTCAAGGGCGTTGTCTGGTATGCGATAAGGTCGAGCAGCGTCAGCGGATTCTGGCGCTTCTCAAGGTACTCGTTTTCGCTGTTCCACATAATGCCGCACCCACAATTTGCAGTCTATCGCGTATTAAGTTGCGACGCGTGCTTCTTCCACAGTGGGAAACCACTCCTGTCAACAACGAGGACCATGACCAGTCAGGATAAGATGCTGTCAATCCCACTAGCCCTGTAGGGCGTGAGTGGTTTAGAGAGCTTCCTCTTCCATCTTCCCTCTTTCCCCTTCGGGGAGGGATTTGCCCCTCCCCCTACCCTCTCCCCCTGGGTCTGGAGGGAGCGTTCCGCGGGTCCCTGGAGTGATCAAGATGGGCTCGGCGAGGAAGCCGACATCATTGATTTCACTAAGGTTTTAACCACGTGTTGACTTATTGGGGGGCTAAGTAAGGACCCCCCCTCATTTGATCGATCTCCTCCAAGATGTCCCCAAGATTGCCCCCGAGGCTCCCAAGTGTGCCCCAAAACATTCCCAAGAGGTGCCCAGGAGGCCCCAAGAGGCCCTCAAGAAGCCCCCAAGAGGCTCTCCAGAGACCCCCCGGAGGCCACCCAAGAGGCCCCAATAGGCTTCCGCGAGGAGGCCAAAATCACGGATGTTACTGTAGTCTTGGCCACATGTTTGCCTCCTGGGGGGGCTAATTTACTACTGCCCCTCCTTTGATCCATCTCCTCCACGATGGCCCCAAAATGGAACCCGAGGCTCCCTAGAGTGCCCCAAGATGGCCCCAAGAAGCGCTCAAGAGACCCCATAAGAGACCCCTAAGAAACTCCCAAGAGACCCTCACAAGGCCCGAAGAGGCTCCCCGAGGCACCCAGGACGCTTCAAGGGGCCCCCGGTGCCGCCACGAGGCCCCCAAGAGGCCCCAAGAGGCATACAAGAGGCATACAAGAGGCTCTCAACGGACATCCGAAGAACGTACGAGAGGCATCCAAGACGCTTCTGGCCTTTCTGCTCGCCCTCTTCCTCTTCCTCCTCCTCCTCCTCCTCCTCCTGCTCTTCCTCATCCGCCTTATCCTCCACCTCTTCCCTCCCCCCTCCTCCCTCCTCCTGCTCCCCCTCCCCCTCCTCCTCCCCCTCCTCCTCTGGTTCCTCCTCGATCCTCTCCCTGTTGGGATATGACGCTTAGCATTTATTCCACTGCGTGCTCCCCCACATTCTGAAGGGCTGGTGGGATTACGCGAAGCGTTTAAAATCTCGAGTCATGTTGCCAGCATGGCACCATCGTTTGACTCAGAGTGCTGGCGCCAGGTTGAATCAGTCAGGCTATCACGTGGGCGCACTGGTGGGGAAGAATTGAAATAAGATGAAAGCGTGGCAGTGGCGTGGTCTCCGTCCTCTTCCTTTTCATCGCGGAGTCCGTTGTGATCCATGGAGGGAGTGCCTGAGTGAATATGAGCGCATCATGTGTATCAACGACTTCGACGGATAGCTCGAAAATCGATGCCTGGGGCATGGGCCGCGGATATGAACGACCTTCATTAGTTCGCCGACCGACCGACAAGAGGGAACCAGAAGAGCGCTCGGAGGGTTGACGCAGCCTCTTGCGAGCAATCTGGGGGCAGCTGGGGGAATAGTGGAGGCCAGTCCACAAGAAACCTTCCCACAAGAAACCCTACCCTAAGACCCCAGGACGTCCACTGTTTTTTTGTGTGGGGACGTCACGCTTTCCATGGCAAAAACATCGAAACCCGAGAAATTCAAGGCACCCTGGAGGCAAGCAGGGTGTTTCGTGGCATGGGTCTCCACTGTAGGACCAGGACGAGCGGGAGGAGCAGTAAGAGGCTGCGGCCCCGGAACGGAAGCCTCGCCACCCTGCCGAAGATGCTGCCGTCGGGCCGCACCACCACCCAGTGCCCAGGCAGGCCTTCACGCACAGCCTCGGGCAACGAAACAAGAAAAATAAGTGAGGCCGAGACACGGAAGCTGGAACGACCCCCCCCGCACAGGCACACTAGACGAGCGTGTTCCACTACTCGCAAAAGTAACTGCTCGCAAATGGCCTGGATTCGCCGCGGGGGGTTTACGATCCACTACATCGAAGCAAACATGTGCTTGTCGGACGCTTGCGAATAGGCACTTTGCGAGCAGTGGAACGCGCTCGGTGACACAGAGATACACAGAAACACAGACACAAACGCACGCACACGCACACACAGACACGCCCCCACACACGCACACCTCTCTCGTCTGTGGCGCGGCGGGCACACGCGCGCAGCGGCGCAGGGCGGAGTCCAAGAGTCAGGCGGACGGCAGCGGGCCCGCATCGGGTCAGCTCACGCGGCAGGTGGAAGCGCCGGGGACTGCGCAGCAGCACTCGCGAGAGGGCAGCCGCGAGGGGGCACTCGAGTAGAAGGGGCCCGGGGACACACAAATAAATGGACACCAATCCCAGGAGCCCCCATATTCCCAAAACGGTGCTTGCATTCAGGGGATCCTACCTGTCTTAGCCATCTGGGGGCCAATGCCCGGTTTCTCCGGGCGGTGCCGCGCGTCGCCGCCCGTCGCCGCCTCGTCGCCGCCCGGTCGCCTGGGCCCCAGTCCCGGCTTTTTCGGGCGGCGCCGCCCGTCGCCGCCCCGTCGCTGGTTCGTCGCCGCCCCGTCGCCACCCACATAGATTGCACCACATGTGTTCCCCCTTCTAAAAATTACCCTGGCGACGTACCCAACCCCTGCGCAAAAGCGGGGCGCAAATAGTTTAGGATACTTTATAAGGGGGCGATGACGGAGCGAGGGTTACATATGTCTGCAGACGGAATTCGGGAGACTCGCAGGACACTGGCTACAGGAAAAGGGCTTGATAAAGCTGATGATTTACAATTCCTGAGCACTCCTAGCCACTTCGAAAACGGGGATCACAGCAGGCCTCGAAAGTGGCGACAGGTTCACAGATCGCAGCCCCGCAGGGATGGCGAGGTCTCATTTGAATCTGCCCGTGGCCCTCACTGTGCTGGGCCCCCCAGCAGGCCTCGAAAATGGCGGCAGTTTCGCAGATCGCAGCCCCCCAGGGATGGCGAGGTCTAATTTGAATCCGCGCGTGGCCCTCACTGTGCTGGGCCCCCCAGCAGGCCTCGAAAATGGCGACAGTTTCGCAGATCGCAGCCCCCCAGGGATGGCGAGGTCTAATTTGAATCCGCGCGTGGCCCTCACTGTGCTGGGCCCCCCAGCAGGCCTCGAAAATGGCGACAGTTTCGCAGATCGCAGCCCCCCAGGGATGGCGAGGTCTAATTTGAATCCGCCCGTGGCCCTCACTGTGCTGGGCCCCCCAGCAGGCCTCGAAAATGGCGACAGTTTCGCAGATCGCAGCCCCCCAGGGATGGCGAGGTCTAATTTGAATCCGCGCGTGGCCCTCACTGTGCTGGGCCCCCCAGCAGGCCACGAAAATGGCGACAGTTTCACAGATCGCAGCCCCCCAGGAATAACGAGGTCTAATTTGGGTCTGCCCGTGGCGTCACTATGCTGGGCCCCCCAAGCAGGCCTCGAATGTGGCACAGTTTCACAGATCGCAGCCCCCCCCAGGGATGGCGAGGTCTAATTTGAATCTGCCCGTGGCCCTCACTGTGCTGGGCCCCCCAGCAGGCCTCGAAAGTGGCGACAGTTTCGCAGATCGCAGCCCCCCAGGGATGGCGAGGTCTAATTTGAATCCGCCCGTGGCCCTCACTGTGCTGGGCCCCCCAGCAGGCCTCGAAAATGGCGACAGTTTCACAGATCGCAGCCCCCCAGGGATGGCGAGGTCTAATTTGAATCCGCCGTGGCCCTCACTGTGCTGGGCCCCCCAGCAGGCCTCGAAAATGGCGACAGTTTCACAGATCGCAGCCCCCCAGGGATGGCGAGGTCTAATTTGGGTCCGCCGTGGCCCTCACTGTGCTGGGCCCCCCAGCAGGCCTCGAAAGTGGCGACAGTTTCCAGATCGCAGCCCCCCAGGGATGGCGAGGTCTAATTTGTCCGCCCGTGGCCCTCACTGTGCTGGGCCCCCCAGCAGGCCTCGAAAATGGCGACAGTTTCGCAGATCGCAGCCCCCCAGGGATGGCGAGGTCTAATTTGGGTCCGCCCGTGGCCCTCACTGTGCTGGGCCCCCCAGCAGGCCTCGAAAGTGGCGACAGTTTCACAGATCGCAGCCCCCCGCAGGCAAGACAGGAGGAGGCAGGCAGGAGGCAGGAGGGAGGCGGGAGGAGACGCGACCACACTGCTCTATTCAAAACGAATACCCAACCAAGGAGGGTTGGGAACAAAATAAGACCTACCCCCTCCCGGCATTATCGGTACCCCTTTCGGGTATGTAAATCACATACGATTCTGACCACATGTCCATCCTAAATATGAAATCACAATGTCCCAGGCCAGCGGGTATCCCCCCCTGAGGTTCCCTTGTTAAAAAACAATGCGGTGACATCTGTTCTAACAAAACACTTTTTCACGAATCCCTTGCAACAAATGGGACAAAGTGCACACGCGCGCGTCGTCGCGCGCGCATGCCGAAATCCTTCAAAAATTTAGGTGCCCGAAGGATGTCGCAATCGAGTTTCCAGAAAGACATACAAAAACACAGGGTTTCGTAACACTGATTTGATATATAAAAAAAAGCTTATGCGCGAGCTCTTGCGAAATCTTAAGACAACCATTGGTTTTTCAAGATTTTTACAACATGCTACCAAATGGGCGTCGCGCGCGCATGTCGAAATCTGTCGAACGCCCTTGCGCGTGTGCCGTCGCGGGAATCCTCCGCAAAAAACGGGACGAAGTGCAGACGCGCGCGTCGTCGCGCGCGTACGCCGAAATCCTTCAAAACCCATCGGTTTCGGAAGGATTTCAAAATCGCGCGTCCAAAAAACCTACAACAACACAAGGTTTCGCAACACGGATTTTCAACAAAAGCGAGCGGCCAGGGCAAGAGAGGCGAGTGTCAGGTCAGGCGTATCCTCATACAGGTGGATTTTGGACGGAAGGAACAAGTCAAGCAATTCCCAAATCGGGGATCTTCTGACCTGGGTCAATCCAGACCCGGGTCAGCAGGAAACCGGAAAACTGCAATGCAAGAGAAAAAAACTGCAACGCAAATCTTCGCAAACCCGGGTCAGCCAATATGCGCGGCCGCCTCGCGGCCACGAGTGGCTCGCTAACCCGGGTCAGCCAGAGGGGGTCTTCGCAGGATCCTGCAAGATCTGGCGCTCTGGCTGACCCCCGTCTGCATTGACCCCCGTCTCAAGGCTCCCGACTAAACATAGTGAACAATAGTCCGGGAACCGTCCCCAGACTATTCTTTCGATTCTGTTTGGATATTCCTCCTGTCGAGGGACACGCCCGATTGAAGACGACTGACAAGACGCAGGCCCAATGGCTCGGAGTATTACGCCAGCCTCGGGCCTTCGCCCCCTCCTGGACATGGACAAACAATAAAAAACGGAGGCCTTGGCTCCGCTCCCCCCCTTTTCCTCCCCCTCTGTCTAAGGTTGACCCCGGGCATTCGGGGAACACGGGCTCGAAAGGGCACGAAAAAAGTGGACCCCCAAGGGCGTGCCACAGGCGGGACGCCAACCTTTTTTCTTGAGTCTGGGGGGAAGGGGGGGGGACCGAATACGGAGTCCAAAACGAAGGGGCTCCACTCCGTTGTCCCCTTACTGTCCTGCTCCTGCTCTTCAATGCCTCGCTGCGGCGTTCCTGCCTCGGTGCCGTGGGGAAGAAAAAGGGAGGAGAAGAGGGACGGCAGCAGCGGGGAGCGGGACGACGAGGAGCGCGGGAGGGAGCAGCGGCTCGGAGAAGGGCTGAGACGACGGCCCCCAGAGCGCTTCCAGGGCCCAAGCGTGAGACGCACAAGGACACACGAATACGAACCGCAACCCGCGGAGAATAAAGCATCCCACCCCTCAATCCTTGTGCCTCTTTAACCACAGGGTTGAATGTGGCTCGATTGCCACAGCAGGCGGGGAAGCCGAACTTTATCATACTCTCCTAAGTTTCTTTCGTAGCTGGGAACTTCATCTCATGCAAAGCACCATGAATAACCACATCCTGAGATTGAGATCTCTGGGGAAACGAACTTATCCCGCTTGGACCCCGAACTTCATCACCCCCAGGGGAGTATTCTCACCAATCTAGGGTGATGCATCCTCCTTGGAGGCCTGCGTCGGACCCGAACGAATCCGCCAACCTGCCTGTACGGAATGGGCGTGCTTGAATGCTCCCGTGGTCTCCACTGGTTGCTTTTATTGCTTAAAATGTTTTCCAAGGCCGACCCCCCCTGCGTCACGACTAGGGTTCAGACCCCCCCCGCTGGAGCTGCTCCCCGGCGCTCTTCTCGGTCTCCAGACGGCCAAGATGGCCCCCAAGACGGCTTCTGGGACAACCATGACGACACACATTACGCTACCGAGGAACCCCACATACTTAATTCGAATCTTATGTGCATGCTTAAGTTTATCATATATGCGCAATTCTGCGTTCTCAGCCCTCGTCGCGAATGTTCCCCTCTGTGTCATCCAACGCCATATTGCTTGAACCTCCTCCCTCTTCCTAGCCTTCTATCCTCCATCGAGGACAGATTCGACCCAGCCAGCGGCCGCGGTGAGGGACCACCCCCTGCGCACCCTCTATGGTGTCGAGAAAGTGCCACGACTGCTATGCCCTGGACGACCGTCGTGCATGGCGGCCGCGGTGAGGGACCACCCCCTGCGCAGCCTTTATGGTGTCGAGAAAAAGCCGCGCCTGCTATGCCCTGGACGACCGTCGTGCATAGCGGCCGCGGTGAGGGACCACCCCCTACGCACCCCCTATGACGTCGAGAAAGTGCCACACCTGCTACCGAGGAGGCCGCTACCGAGAAAGTGCCATTCCTGTCACGATCTGCGAGCGTGTCACGGATAGAGGCCGCGCTGAGGGACCACCCTCTGCGCACCCCTTGTGGTGTCGAGAAAGTGCCACTCCTGCCACGATCTGCGAGCGTGTCACGGATAGAGGCCGCGCTGAGGGACCACCCTCTGCGCACCCCCTGTGGTGTCGAGAAAGTGCCACTCCTGCCACGATCTGCGAGCGTGTCACGGATAGAGGCCGCGCTGAGGGACCACCCTCTGCGCACCCCCTGTGGTGTCGAGAAAGTGCCATTCCTGCCACGATCTGCGAGCGTGTCACGGATAGAGGCCGCGCTGAGGGACCACCCTCTGCGCACCCCCTGTGGCGTCGAGAAATGCCATTCCTGCCACGATCTGCAAGCGTGTCACGGATAGAGGCCGCGCTGAGGGACCACCCTCTGCGCACCCCTGCGAGAAAGTGCCACTCCTGCCACGATCTGCGAGCGTGTCACGGATAGAGGCCGCGCTGAGGGACCACCCTCTGCGCACCCCCTGTGGTGTCGAGAAAGTGCCACTCCTGCCACGATCTGCGAGCGTGTCACGGATAGAGGCCGCGCTGAGGGACCACCCTCTGCGCACCCCCTGTGGTGTCGAGAAAGTGCCACTCCTGCCACGATCTGCGAGCGTGTCACGGATAGAGGCCGCGCTGAGGGACCACCCTCTGCGCACCCCCTGTGGTGTCGAGAAAGTGCCACTCCTGCCACGATCTGCGAGCGTGTCACGGATAGAGGCCGCGCTGAGGGACCACCCTCTGCGCACCCCCTGTGGTGTCGAGAGAGTACCATTCCTGCCACGATCTGCGAGCGTGTCACGGATAGCGGCCACGCTGGGGGACCACCCTCTGCGCACCCCCTGCGGTGTCGAGAAAGTGCCACTCCTGCCACGATCTGCGAGCGTGTCACGGATAGAGGCCGCGCTGAGGGACCACCTTCTGCGCACCCCCTGTGGCGTCGAGAAAGTGCCACTCCTGCCACGATCTGCGAGCGCGTCACGGATAGAGGCCGCGCTGAGGGACCACCCTCTGCGCACCCCCTGTGGTGTCGAGAAAGTGCCACTCCTGCCACGATCTGCGAGCGTGTCACGGATAGAGGCCGCGCTGAGGGACCACCCTCTGCGCACCCCCTGTGGTGTCGAGAAAGTGCCACTCCTGCCACGATCTGCGAGCGCGTCACGGATAGAGGCCGCGCTGAGGGACCACCCTCTGCACACCCCCTGTGGTGTCGAGAAAGTGCCACTCCTGCCACGATCTGCGAGCGTGTCACGGATAGAGGCCGCGCTGAGGGACCACCCTCTGCGCACCCCCTGTGGTGTCGAGAAAGTGCCACTCCTGCCACGATCTGCGAGCGTGTCACGGATAGAGGCCGCGCTGAGGGACCACCCTCTGCGCACCCCCTGTGGTGTCGAGAAAGTGCCACTCCTGCCACGATCTGCGAGCGTGTCACGGATAGAGGCCGCGCTGAGGGACCACCCTCTGCGCACCCCTTGTGGCGTCGAGAAAGTGCCACTCCTGCCACGATCTGCGAGCGTGTCACGGATAGAGGCCGCGCTGAGGGACCACCCTCTGCGCACCCCCTGTGGTGTCGAGAAAGTGCCACTCCTGCCACGATCTGCGAGCGTGTCACGGATAGAGGCCGCGCTGAGGGACCACCCTCTGCGCACCCCCTGTGGTGTCGAGAAAGTGCCACTCCTGCCACGATCTGCGAGCGTGTCACGGATAGAGGCCGCGCTGAGGGACCACCTTCTGCGCACCCCCTGTGGTGTCGAGAAAGTGCCACTCCTGCCACGATCTGCGAGCGTGTCACGGATAGAGGCCGCGCTGAGGGACCACCCTCTGCACACCCTGTGGTGTCGAGAAAGCGCCACGATCTGCCCACGGATAGAGGCCGCGCTGATGCGCACCCCCTGTGGCGTAGAGAAAGTGTCCCTGCCACGATCTGCGAGCGCGTCACGGATAGAGGCCGCGCTGAGGGACCACCCTCTGCGCACCCCCTGTGGTGTCGAGAAAGTGCCACTCCTGCCACGATCTGCGAGCGTGTCACGGATAGAGGCCGCGCTGAGGGACCACCCTCTGCGCACCCCCTGTGGCGTCGAGAAAGTGCCACTCCTGCCACGATCTGCGAGCGTGTCACGGATAGAGGCCGCGCTGAGGGACCACCCTCTGCGCACCCCCTGTGGTGTCGAGAAAGTGCCACTCCTGCCACGATCTGCGAGCGTGTCACGGATAGAGGCCGCGCTGAGGGACCACCCTCTGCGCACCCCCTGTGGTGTCGAGAAAGTGCCACTCCTGCCACGATCTGCGAGCGTGTCACGGATAGAGGCCGCGCTGAGGGACCACCCTCTGCGCACCCCCTGTGGTGTCGAGAAAGTGCCACTCCTGCCACGATCTGCGAGCGTGTCACGGATAGAGGCCGCGCTGAGGGACCACCCTCTGCGCACCCCCTGTGGTGTCGAGAAAATGCCACTCCTGCCACGATCTGCGAGCGTGTCACGGATAGAGGCCGCGTTGAGGGACCACCCTCTGTGCACCCATTGTTGCGTCGAGAAGGTGACATTCCTGCCACGATCTGCGAGCGTGTCACGGATAGAGGCCGCGCTGAGGGACCACCCTCTGCGCACTTGTGGCGTCGAGAAAGTGCCACGATCTGCGAGCGTGTCACGGATAGAGGCCGCGCTGAGGGACCACCCTCTGCGCACCCCCTTGTGGCGTCGAGAAAGTGCCACTCCTGCCACGATCTGCGAGCGTGTCACGGATAGAGGCCGCGCTGAGGGACCACCCTCTGCGCACCCCCTGTGGTGTCGAGAAAGTGCCACTGCGAGCGTGTCACGGACCAGGGACCACCCTCTGCGCACCCCTGTGGCGTCGAGAAAGTGCCACTCCTGCCACGATCTGCGAGCGTGTCACGGATAGAGGCCGCGCTGAGGGACCACCCTCTGCGCACCCCCTGTGGTGTCGAGAAAGTGCCACTCCTGCCACGCGCTCCGACCCGCTGTGCTGTGCTCTGAGCGCGGGTGCGGCGCGGCAGGGAAGAGAAGGAGAGGGAGGAGAAGGAGAAGGAGGAGACGCGGGTGAGACGCGGAAGGGAAGAACACCAGAACCCCACGAAGCATGTGGGGAAAAATGCTCAAGATGGCCCAGGACGGCTCGAGAGGCTCTCAAGACGGCCTCCAGACGGCCCTGGAGGCCCCCAAGACGGCCAAGAGGGCTCCAAGAGGCCCCCAACACGGCCCAAAAAGCTCCAAGAGTCCTACCTGGAGAGCCCGAGGCCTGTACGTGCTTCCGACCGCCCAAGACGGCCCAGAGGCCTCCACGAGGCCTCCAAGATTACTCCAAGGCAGCCCAAGAGACCCCGAAGAGGACAAAAAGCCGGCCCACGAGGATTCAAGGATCGCCCAAGGGGCTTCCCATGGGGCGGGCCCCGAGACGGCCTTGAAGCGCACTAAGAGAACAACGCGACGGCCCAGAGAAGCCCCTGGGGCTGACTTGGGCGGTCAGAAACCCAAACAAGCCTGAACGTCAAAATCCTTCAGACACCTAAAGACAATCAGTAGGTTTGGCCATATCGGTCCCTCCTGGAGGGACTGTTGCTATGTCTTGAGGCCTGCTTGGGAACCTCGTGGCCTCCACGACGGCTTCCAAGGCAACCAATATGACAACAAGATGGCCCAAGAGCCCCCCAAGACAGCACCACGACAGATCAAGGAACCCCCAAGACGTCCCAAGAGGCTCCAAGAGGCCCTCCTGGAGAGCCCTAGGGGGCCAGCGCCATTGACTTCCATGTGGTTGTTGAGAGATGTTGAGGTTCTCGACTGCTCGGGCCAAGAAGCCTCCAAGATAGCTCCAAGGCGGCCCAACAGACCCCCCAGAGGGCCACAAGTCGGTCTAAACTAATCCAAATATCGCCCAATGGGCCCCCAAGAAGGCCCCAAGGCGGCCGTGAACCGCTCCAAGAGGGCACCAACACGGCCTAGAGAGGCCCCCAAGAGGGCCTCCATAGGCGTCAGAAGGGCCACCAGCCCCCAGACAGCCCAAGAAACCAAAAGAGGACCCAAAGAGGCCATATGAGGCCCTAAGGAGGCCCCCGCGAAGCTTCCAGGAAACTCCCTAAAAGCCCCCAGGAGGCCCCAAGGATTTCACTCCACATCCTCATCTTCCCCCTCTCGCACACACCCACAGCAGACAGAAACATCCGAACAGGCCAGGAGCTGAACAGCTGCACGCGCTCAAGGATGCCCAGAGTGTGATATATATATATATATAGAGAGAGAGAGAGAGAGAGAGAGAACGAGAGAGAGAGAGAGAGGGAGAAAAGAGAGAGAGAGAGAGAGATGTGCCCATGCCAGCTCCAGCCCAGCTTGGCGCGGCCTCTACCACACTCGGGGGAGGGGAAGGGAGGGGGCGCCCACTCAATGCCAACAGCCCACCTGACCCCCATTACTCTTCACTGCCTTTTTGGGCGCCCCCTACAAAGCCTAAGGCCCTGGTCGATTGACATCCGTGCCCTTGCTTGCCGTCGGAAGGGAGGGGCAGGTGGATCCTCCGCACTCCTCCGCCGCTCTTCTCCCCTTCCACCGCCATCCTCAAAGAACATGTCAGGGAAAGGGGCGGAGAGGGGGGAGGCTGGGCCAGGCTAACACGCCGTGGGCCCATTCAGTTCATGTTGCTAGCTGCTCGCACAACTTGGGACGATCTGGAAGCGCCCCGAGCAGCCATCACCTCTGTCATTATGGAATTCCTCACCACCCACATCAACCCCGCCCATACCCACCTCCACCCACACGCTGCCTTACTGTGCAAGTGGCATATCAGCATGCAGGAGTTGGGCGGGGAATGCGGGGAATGAAAATGGGTGAAGATGGGAGAGGAGAGGAACGTAGTGGAACGGAAAAGAGCGTCTGAATCTACGTTCCCTGATCGCTTTCACTAGTCCTCTGCGACCCTGATACTGCTTCCAACTGAAACGCTATTACTCATACCTGCGACTCCAGCTTACTTGCGACACTCAATTTCTGGAGCCTGCGTGCACTGGCAAGCTGCATGGCCAATTCACCGACCTGCGATATCAACTCATGTACTACGCTGGGGTCATATGCGGTGCCGCCGCTGGCGGGGACAACCTCTGCGCAAAACGTTTCCATGGCAACGCTTTGAACTGGCTCCTGAAACTGGTCGGAAGGCATAAAGTCGCGGTCTGGCATCCCTTGGGCGGGTTCACAAAGCGGGTCGAGCTGCCCGACGGCGGACTGGTTTGGGACCGTCACGTGCAAAATGCCCCTCTCATCGATGGTGAACTCTACCTCGTAGCTGGCCTGCGAACCCTCTAGCAAAGGTTAAACGTCGAGCAACTGCAGATCGTCTGCTGGGCTTCCGTTCGTGAGCACCTGCTGGCCGATGCTGTAGGCGACCTCTAACTTGTTGTCGGCGCGTGCGTCCACCTCGGAACGCGCCGAAGGCGATGCCGAACCAGGGGCTGCCCCCGACATCAGGACGTCGTGGGGCAGGTCGCCCAGCCTCTCCAAGAAACCGAGACCCAGGCTGGAGTAGCGATCGTCCTCGGACACCGTTGCCGTCTCGGCGAAAGACGGCACTGCGGTGGCAGACTCGGCCGCCCACGGCGGCGGCGCATACGTGCCTGCAGCACCGCTTGCCTTCTCCAGAATGCCGATTGCATCGGTGTCGAACGAAGACTGAAAAAAGCAGAGTGCCACGTGGTACAGGCGGGGTGCCCTTCGCAGTGGCCTCCTCAGCTGCATCTGCGGATACTGACTGGTTAAAGTTCTCGTCCACAGCTGTCAATTTGGTGGACACCTCGGCCACTTCTCCGTGGCCTTCTGGTTGACAACCTCAATCCTCGCCTTGCTCCCTGGGGCCTCCTCGTCCTGGTCGGAACTGCGGGGAGGGGAGTGCACGGCAAGATTAGGAAAGTAATACAATTCGTAGTCGTGACCGCCCTCGTCATCCATGGATCTCTGAATATCGGCCTCGGCGAAGTGATGCATCTTCAGGTCGGTTTGACACGCCTGCTCATGACGCGTCACTTCATAGATGTGTCCGCCAACCTTGTTGCCCACGGTGGCGTGCTCGGAAGGCTCCCCCCCTCAGAAGAGGTGGTAGAGGAATACGGCCGAGAAGTTGATTCCATCGAGTTGTCCGAACATCGGCCTCCAGCCGAATGATCTGTGGAGCTGTGGAAATCCGAATTCAATATCTGCCGAACGCGTCCAATGATGTTTGCCGCCTTCTGGGCATTGATGTGCCTGTTCACGTGAAAGGCGATATCCAGACGCTCCATTTTCTTGGCCATCGACGCATCGATGCCCTGCTGGCGACGGGCCCATCGAGCGGCCACCGTGAGGCCCTCGAAGTCATGGCCTGTCCACACGCAAAGATCTCTGAGACAAAGCCCGTGGAGATCTGCAACCAGCGCATCGGCAGATGCACCAAGAATGGCCATGTCTGGATAAAATTGGGATGCCCAACGGGGACTGCCTAGCCTTGAGCTCCTCTTCCTCCTCCTCTTCCTCCTCCTCCTCCTCCTCCTCCTCATCATCATCATCATCATCATCATCATCATCATCATCATCATTATCATCACCAGCATCATCAGCATCATCAGCATCATCATCACCGCCACCATCATCAGCATCATCAGCATCATCATTATCACCATCATCATCATCATCATCATCATCATCATCATCATCACCATCACCATCATCATCATCATCATCATCACCATCACCATCACCATCATCATCATCATCATCATCATCATCAGCATCAGCATCACCATCATCATTATCATCATCATCAGCATCATCATCATCATCATCATCATCATCATCATCATTATCATCATCCTTCTCCCTACCGCGCCGATGTAGACGAGGTCGGGATCACGACCCGTCCCAATACATACTGCTTGTCGGAATTGCTCTGTTCCTATACTCAGTCTCGTTCCTTCTGCGCAGTTGCACTGGCACGGTGGCGGGGTTTACCGCAGGCAGCTGGATAGCATAACCATCTTGTAGTATACAGTTCCCTGAGCGGTACGACCAGAAAGCGCCCGCCTCGCAGCATGTTCTGCAAAGATTTCTCGGCACGCGCGTCGCCCCCTCGGGGGCGACGCACACATAGTATCAGTATGTGTGGGTGGCGCCGGCATGATCCGAGCTGCTTCCAGCCGTGGCGACAAGGAGACCCCCCGAAGGCCAACCACCGCTGCCTCGCCTGGCCCTCCCCAGAGCGGCAGGAGCAGGTACAGGCCTCCCAGATGGGAAGAGGAGACAGGGGGCGGAGGATCGCGCCGCGACGCCAATGCATCGCCGATGCATCGGCGACGTCGGCGTGGAGAAAGTCGGGCTCCACATCGGGCCGCATCGTCGATGCATCGGCGATGCGGAGCGATCCGTCGACCCCAGACCTACGCGGGCCCCATCTGGGAGGCCCAGGGAGGCTCGGCGAGGGGAGGGGAGCCTTGGCGTCGGGAGGGGCCACCAGGGGCTCCTGGTGCCTCTCGCCGTAGGCCCGGCTCAGGCGCTCGAGGAAGTCCAGGCTTCTGGGGAGACCAAAAAAGTTACCAATACCGCCACTCCCCGGACCTCTCCTGGGGTGCGTTTGGATTTCGGATCGGACCAGGATTCCGAGGCGAATCCAACGGTGACGACGAGGGCCTCCGAGGAGGCCCCAGAAATGGGAAAAACAGGCGGAGGGTACAGTCGAGACTGATTAGTAGGCCGACCCTGCCAAATCGAGGGTACCCTTGTGCCCTGACCTTCGCGACCCATGCCTCCTCACATTCCTATGGCAATGTGGCCCTCGGAGGGCCTCGTGCCCTCTCGCCGGCCCTCTCTCCAATCGGCCCCGACTGCAGCGGTGTGTGGGCACCTTGTTCCTCCTCTGCGGCTCCCGGAGCCGCCACTCCCCGGCTCGCCCCGCAGGCCCGCGACGATGGCGTCCAGCTCCGCCCCCGTGGGGTTGCGCACCTCTCGGGCCGTCAGCAGGATAAGGGGGTGCGCGGTCGCCAGATCCATGGATTCTGGCGCGCGGTCGCCAAATCCATGGATCGGGGGAGGCGGCCTCCCCAAACTGCGGCCCGTGCCGCCTCGTTCGGCGGCGCAAGACCTCGATTCCCATGGAAACGGGACCCGTCGCTAATCCTCGCCCTCTTGATCGATGCCTGCGATCGCCTGAACCTCTCGGGCTTCCTCGAAGCCGGCGGAGGCACTCCCAAAGGCTCCCCCTCGCGCCGCGATGAAAATCACGACGGCACTGCGCTGAATTCGGCCCCTCGGGGGGCCCTCCTACCCGGTCGCGGGCCAAGAAAACAACAACACCAGCAACAACAACACCGATACCAGCCCTGTTTGTCTTGGATCACATTCCTTTGGGGGGATTATTTCTCTTTGCGGGGGGCGGCGGGCTTAGACAGGCGGGCAAACCTGAACGGGCGAACAATCCTTCGTGGGCGCAGATGTGCCCGCCATTGGAATTGGTGTGGGCCCTGATAAAACGAGCAGGGGCAGAACAAGGGAGAGTGGGAGGAAGGGAGGGGGAGGGACGAAGGATGAGGGAAAACGTCAGGAGAGAAGGAGCGAAGAGGGAGGCAGTTGATTAGAGGCAGAGAAAGAGAGCGAGAGAAAGACAGATAAGAGAGGTAGAGAAAGAGAGAGAGAGAGAGAGAAAGGGGAAAGAGAGAGAGAGAAAGAAATAAAGAAAGAAAGAGGGAGGGAGGAGGCAGGAGAGGGGAGGGATAAGGGAGAGGAGGGAGAGGGGATAGGGCAGAGAGGCATAAGGATGAGGAAGAGAGGAGGGAAAGAGAAGGGAGCAGAGGAGGGAGGAGGGAGGAGGGAGAGGGAGGAGGACCAGGAAGGTAAGAGCGTAAACGTTCGAGGAAGTCCTAGGCGAAAGCGCCGCTCCTAAAGGAAGTCCCGGGCGGGAACCCACGACGGGCGGGCGATCCCCTGACGGGCGGATCGGGCGGGTGGGACATTCAAGCGGGATGCCTGAGTATGGCGAGAGCGCGATTGCTAAGTAAATTGTAACGGCGTCCTTGGCGCAGCGTGTTTCCTGAGTGTCGCAAGCGCGATGTCTCAACAAATTGCGTGGAAGTCACAGGCGAGAGCGCAATTCCTGAATGAAATGTGAGGGGTTCTCTGGCGGGAGCGGGGGTCTTGATTAAATTGCGAGGAAGTCTTGACTCAATTGCGAGGAAGTCTCAAGCGGGAGCGCCGTTCCTGAGTAAATTGTGAGGAAGTCTCTGATGGGAGCGGGGGTCCTGACAAAATTGCGAGGAAGTCACAGGCGGGAGCACCGATCCTGAGTAAATTGCGGAAGTATCAAGAGTGGGGGTCCTGAGTAAATTTTGAAGAAGTCTCAGGCGGGAGCCGTTGTTGTTGTAATCCAGGGGGCCAGGGGCCCAGTTTGAGCAGGAAGACTTCCCCCGTCAAAAAACAGGGTGCGAGCGGCGCACTTTGATTCAGAAAAAACAGCATGCACCGGTGAGGGGGGATCAACATAAATTATTCCTCAGAAATGAAAAGTTCAACAACAACAGCAACAACAACAACAACAACAACAACAACAGCAACACGAACACCACCACCACCACCACCACCACCACCACCACCAACAACAACAACAACAACCACAACAATCACAACCACAACCACAACCACAACCACAACCACAACAACAACAACAACAACAACAACAACAACAACAACAACAACAACAACAACGCAACAACTCGGGAGGAAAAGCTGGTCCCTGGAAACGGGGTCCAGACCTCCCCTGGGGGGCCCACGCCATGAGGCGATCACGACGTCGGGAGCCTGGGCTGTTGGCAGCTGTCCTTCCCCGCCCTGTGCCACAACTCAGACCCAGAGAGCCGCCATCTTGTTCTTTTCAATGCGAGGCCCCCAGCAGCCGACTGTTCATCCTGAGTAAATCTTGGACTGCCCCAGGGCCCAGCAATGCCCTCCGAAAATGACCCGAAAATGAAACAATCCTGCTCGCGACGCGAGGGGGCATGGGGAATGACGCCCCCAGACCCCGACCACGACGGGGGGTGACACAGACTTGCCAACTGGGTTCAGACGAAGCAAGCAGGAGGATAAATTCGGGTGAGGGAAACTCGAAAATCTCTGAGATCCGTCGGCTCTGGAGGATGTTCCGGGCGCCGCGCCCTTCCCAGCGCGTGCTGGAAAGCTCTGAGAGCGTTCCGGAACGCCCTGGAACTGACTGATCCTCGTCCTCGCCCCGTCCGATTGGTGCCGGCGGCCCTCGGCGGTGGAAGGCGCCCGCTGCGCTTGGGGGACCAAGACTGCTGTCTCGTCCAACTCACAAGAAATGCTGTCTATGTTGTAGATTCGACGAGGGAATCAACTTCGGGGCAATTCGATCCTGTAGTCGATTCCCCACTCGAGGAGACAGGGCGCACCCGCGGCACCGATGTGCCGCTGCTCCGCGGGCCTCTCCCAGGGTACGTGCCGGCACCGGTCTCGGGGCGGGCCGTGGCAACGGGGGGCGGGTCATCCCTCCAGCCCTTCGGGCCTTTGTGGTCTGACGAGTTCTTTTTCCTTCCTCTTCCAAAAACCGTATTCCTTCCATGGAAGGGTGCCCCTCCCCCCCCCTCCCTGCGGCTCCTTGTCTGAAGCCTCCCTTGTTGGGCTCTCGTTTTGAATAGACCGCTGCGGTCGCGTCTCCCTCCCTCCTCCCGGCTCCCTCCTGTATATGTCTCTCTCTCTCTGTTTCTTTTTTTCTCTCTCTCTCTCTATCTCTCCTCTTGTCTCGTACCTCTCTCGTACCTGCCTCCGAGCTCGCAGTCCGGGGGGGACTGCGACCTGCGAAACTGTCGCCACTTTCGAAGGCTGCTGGGGGGGCCAGCACGGTGCCGTCATACCCTGACCAAGATCAAACCTCGCCATCCCTCGGGGGCTGCGATCGGCAAACTTGTCGCCAACTTCGAAGGCTGCTGGGCGGGGGGCCCAGCAAAGTGTCGCCACTTTCGAAGGCGGCTGAGGGGGGGCAAGCACACTGTCATCAGACTCAGGATTCGCCCCCGCCATCCCTGGAAGGTTGCGATCTGCGAAGCTGTCGCCACTTTCGAGGGCTGCTGGGGGGGGGGGGGGGCAGCACAGTGTCGCCATACCCTGACTCAGATTCGACCTCTCCATCCCCGGGGGTCTGCGATCTGCGAAGGTGACGCCACGTTCGAAGGCTGCTGGGGGGGGGGCAGCACAGTGTCGCCATACCCAAACCAAGACCAAACCTCGCCGTCCGTGGGGGGGGAGGGGGGGAGGCGATCTGCGAAACTGTCGCAACTTTCGAGGGCTGCTGGCGGGCCCAGCTTGCTGCGATGCTCTACAGATCGGAGCGGGACCATGCCATCTCTGGGGGGCTGCGAATTGCGAATATGTCACCACTTTCGAGGGTCGCTGGAGGCTCCAAAGGAATGGCGTCTTACGCAAATCCAAATTCGACCTCAAAATCCCTGGGGTGCTGCGATCTGTGAAACGGTCACCGCTTCTGAGGGCTGTTGGGAGGCTCAGCATAGTTGGAGTCTCGCGCAGACTCAGACTAGCCCTCTCCATCCTTGGAAGGGCTGCGAACCGTGAAACTGTCGCCACTTTCGAGGGCTGATTGCTGGCATACCCTGGAACATCATGCCTATCCTTCCTTTGGCGGTCTGTTGTCGTCAATCTCGTGCTGCAGCCACGGACGAGGAGACGCGGGCCGGGGCTGGGCGCCTCCTCGAAGCCCTGGCCCCCCCGAGGAAGCTCGGCGCTTCACGCTCCGGCCACGGCCCTCGGGGTCAACGGTGGCGTCGGAGGTGTGGGGAGAGGAGGAGGAGGAGGAGGAGGAGGAGGAGGAGGAGGAGGAGGAGGAGGCGGAGGCGGAGGCGGAGGCGGAGGAGGCGGAGGAGGAGGAAGAGTAGGAGGACGAGGAGGGGCCCAGACCACGTGGTGCGACGCCCCAAGAGACCTCACCGCGCGGTCCGCCACCGCACGGGATTGGGACTCCGGAGGCCCTGGTCGCCCGAAGCGTCCTCGGCGCACGACCCGAGTCCCAGGGCCGTGCGGTGGCCCCGAGGTTGCCCCCCGACGCGCCACGCGGCATGGCCACTGCACCGCCTTTGGGCCACCGGGTCTGCCCGCTCTAGCTCCCGCGGGGGGGCAGGGCGGCACGGACACCGCTGCCGCCAGGGACCTCTCCCGGAGTGCGGCACGGCACGCAGCCCTTCGAGGAGAACGGGCGAGCTGCGGCATCGGCACGCTCCTCCCGTCGGCTCCCGCCCCCCTCCCGTCGGCTCCCGCCGCGCCCGCCGCCGCTTCCCTCCCTGCCCGGCTCGCCGCGGAGCTGCCGTCGGTGTGGTAGACCTCGAGCCGCCCAGAGAGGAGCCGGCGCGTCAGCGTGCCGAGCGGGGTGATCGTCCTGCGGGGGCCGCTCGCCCTGGCCCTGTGTTGTCTCGCCTCCCGCCTGGCAACCCAGCCCGACCTCCTCCCGAGCCGCCTCACGATCTCCCCATACCTCGTCGCGTTGCGCAAAAACAAAGGCACGAGCGTCGGCGGATGATTTCTGTCACTTGCGGTCTCCGGGCAATCTGTTCGGCCTCTGGGCCCCATGGTTGCAACATCGCGAACAGAGATCGACCTGGGACGTCAAAACCTGTCCCATGTCAGAGGTCCACGCCGCGAACAAGTCACGGCGTCGGAATTCTGGGCCCGCCTTCGGCACGCTCTGCGCGGCGGCGGCCAGCAGCTGCGCCTGGCCCTGGTTTGACGACCTACCAGATCACCCCGACCCAGCCCGAAGACCTGAACCTCGGGCATGGAGGGCAAAGCGGGGCCTTCGGGTTGGGTGGGGATGGTCCGGTGCGTGGTGAAGGCTGGGGTCCGGGGGCAGACTTTGCCAGAATCTGGGCCGGACGGGCGAGCCGCCGTGGTCTCGACCGCCATCCGCACAGGCCGCGCGTCGGCGGCAGGGCACACAGGGCACGACGGTGGGGTCGGAGGCCAGGCCCAACTTCTCCTCCCCGCCTGCCCTCCGCGAGCCTCTCCGCCGTCCTCCCCTCCCCGCTGCGTGCATGCCTAGCCCTCGGCAGTCATGCACCCCCCCGACTCGATGCGTCATGCCTCGGTCGGTTCAGTTCCCGGTCGACCCGGGCATACCGAAGTCTCAAGGCGAACCTTCCCAGTGAATGTACTTGCGCATCATGACAGATTGTCTGGAACTCAAGCACCCCGAAACCGTGGGCTCACACGCACATCTCAAAGAAGCTCAACTGGGGAATCTGGCATCTGTTGCAACGTGTCTGAAGACTCAGATGTTGTTTGCAGTAAGTATGATGCATCATATGTGCTGCATTTGGCGCATGGTGCGTCGGTGCAGTGTACGTGCCGCAACATGATAAGTTGTCTCTCTCTCTCTCTCTCTTCTCTCTCCCTCTCTCTTTCTGCATATGTGTGGAACTGTATGTGCATAGTTGTTGTATACACGTTTACACATTTGATATACATATGTATATATATAGACATTGGGGCATGTCTATGTGGTGAGAATTGCGTGGTGCAACTTGTGTGGTCCAACCCATGTGGCGCAATATACTTGCATATGTAGGTTGATGCACATGTATACATGGCTGTATGTATTTATGTGGTGCATGTTCTGTCCTCGCTGGTGCCACGCCCTCCGGCTGTTACTTCACATCGCAAGCATCATGTGTATGCCTCCGTGCCCCGATGCGAGCCTTCAAGTCACTTCGAGCTCGCTGTATGGAGTGTTGCACACTGTGAGCCCTACTAAACGTATGGACCCTCTGAGTCCCAGTGGCCCTGTCGGCATTGTGCCTATTGGGCGCTATCCGCCCTGTGGGTCCTGTGGGCCTTTCAGGCCCACGCGTGATCCGCATGAGCCAGCGGAGCTATGGGCAATATGTGCCCTTCTGACCCCCCAGCCAGGCCGTAAATGTTGACTTGCTTCCACGGAGGCAGGTCAGAGAAAAGCAAGCGGGAGAAACAGATGGGCGATGGGTGACGCCACTGGCAACTGGCAGGGCCTACGGTGAAGGCGAGAATTCGGGCAGTTGCAGCCGCCCTTCAATCACATTGATGAGCATGTCCCCTTCCCCCTCGTCCCCCTCCTGCTCCACCTCCCCGACCTACGCAGGCGGCACATGTACACCACAACCATGCCTGGCCAGGGCCATGACAGACCCTGGCATGCTGACTCTGAACGTCCGCCTGGCCGAGTCCAGGAAGGCCTGCGCACCATCTTGAGACCCAGGATGGCCCTAGCCGAACACGGTGCAACAGGCCTCGGGAGAAATAGCGAACACTCATGCCACATTCATCTGTCAACAGCTCCCCCTCCTCCCAATGTTCAAAGTTGGCGGTGGGTCCGATGCTTTGCACCTCGACCGCAGCCTCCCCCGCGCGTGCCAACTTTGAGCTTGGGGGGCAGGGGGGGGGGTTCATGAATTGCTTCCCTCTGCCGAAGTGCCTCTGCTTGGTGCCCTCTGCCCATGGCTGCCACCCCGCCCGCGGCTGTCCTGGAGACCTCCACGTCCTCCGGGCACCCCGGCACCACCCGCGCACGGCTCGCCGGGGGCACTGGCGGCGGGGGCGACGGGGGCGCCAGCATGCCGAGCTCCTCGGCCATCACCTGAGCAGCGCGGCCACGCCTCCCTCTCCGTCCTCCCGGGCGGCGCCGGCCGGCAGTTCGGTCGATCCCCACACGCCATTTCCGAGTCTGCGGTCGTCGGCGTTCTGGGAGAGCACGCTCCGATCTCAGCAGGGTTCGGGGCCTCGGAGGGGGCCGGAAGGCCTGCGTTTGCCGCCTTCGCCTCCGCAAGCGCTGCCGATGTCGAAGGTGCAGCCCCACGAGCTTATTAACAAGTCCTCATCGTAGCACAATCAGATGGGTCGGCGGGGTGGTCTTGAATTTTTTCTCCTCGTATTCCCTGCCAGTCATGGCCCTGCGGCTGCTACTTTCCAGCAGGCGAACGGGTTAAAGGTGTATCTTTCCAAAGCTTGGCCATCTCATTACCACCGCCCATTATCCACATGTCCCTCTCCTCCCTTGCACTCTTCCTCCCCCTGTCTCCAAACTTTCTGTCCCTCCTGCGCCCCTGTCTCCGTCCCCCTCTTCCTCTCCTCCCCTTTTCTCGTCCCCCATCAGACCTGAGCCAGCACGGGAACGGAAAGAGCGCTTCAGAAACTTGCCCGAGAGGGTTCATGGTATAGCTCGCTTTGGGAAGCCTTAGCGCTAGGAGCTGTTTCGTATCATCCCTCGCTCTTGGAAATTTTGGCGGTGAGAGTTGTTTACGTCACGGCTCGTTCTTGGGAGCCTTGGCGTTAAGGATTTCGCTGTTTGGAGCCTTGGCGCGAAGAGCTTCTGGCGCCACTGCTCTCTCTTGAGAGCCTTTGCGTTGAGAGCTCTTCCAAGTCCCACCTCTACAAACCAGGCCCGCGCCTTCTAAGAAACCCTCCCCCCTCCCCCTAATTACCCCCCTCTGCGCGCCGCCGACCATCCTCTCCTTCCGTTGTCCTCCACCCCGTCTTGAGGCCCTCACCCGGGCCCCGCTGGCGGCGGCCTCCTCCGTGGCGCGCACGCCGTCCTTGCCGCTCTGCAGGGCCAGCGGCCACCGCAGCTGCACCGAGGCGTCGCTGAAGACCTGCACGACGGCGGCGGCGACGGCAGCGACGGCGGCCACGGCGGAGGCGGCGAGGGCGACCGTGGAGGACGACGACCCCAGAGCTCCGGGCGTTGCACTTTCTTCACGCCATGCGTTCTCGCCCGGCTCCGGGCCCCGGGGCCACCACAGAGGATGGGGTCCACGCGGGTCGCGATTGTAAACGTTTTCTTATTCGGCGTTTAGATAGTGGGCGGAAGGGGGGGGAGGGAGAGAGGGGGTGAGTCCGGCTCTGGACCCCTGCTTGATGCGACTGTTTGAGACAGTGCGTCCCATGGGGGAGACTCCACCTGCTTGAAACAGGCGCCCCAAGCAACCAAGATCTACTCCTTTTTGGGGGGGGTCGAGGGCCCGTGCCGATCGGCAAAACAGTGAATGAGGAAAACGATCGCATGCTTCGCGACGCTGAATTGCTTCGCAGCGCCGGATCTCAAGGACGGCGACGTCGTCCAGCACGACGGAGACGGCGACGGCGGCCAGGCCCCGAGTTCAGCCAGAGGGCGCTGCCTGCACCACCTGCCCGTTGGCGAGCGTGTAGGCCAGCACGACCCCCATCGGCGGGGGCTGGGCCCCATCCGGGGCGGCGGCGAGGTCTGCCTGCGGCAGGGCCTCGTGGTGCGCCCTGGCGGTGCACCGGGCGCCCCCCGCCATCGCCATCCAGAACGTCCCGAGCTGGGAGCCCTCGAACGGCATTCCCGTGGGCAGGTCTTCGGCGCCACCTGGGCGACGAGAGGAACGTTGAGGCAACTTCTGGGAAGTCTCCGTGAGAACGATGCAGGGCGAATGAGTCTAGTTAGGGGGCCACTAAGGCCAGATGGAATCGGATCCCGTCAAGAATAACCCAACTGCGCCGGATTGACAGGGATTGAACGACATGGAGCGGCACTCGCCTGAATGAGCTGGTGTTCGACCACGGATGTACGTACGTAGCACCCCGCAGATGCGGATAAGAATGAGGGGGCGGTGGGGACGTCGGCAGTCTGCGAGACTCTGGAGAAGCCCGCCGCAGGTGCCAAAGTTTCACCAAATTATAGAACGAGCCCGCCGCAGGCGCCGATATTTTCTTCAAACCAGTGTGGATCGGTCGCGGGTGGGTCGCGGGTGGGTCGTGGGGTGGGTCGCGGGTGGGTCGCAAGTGGGTCGCGGGGTGGGTCGCGGGTGGTTCGCTGATGGGTCGCGTGGTGGGTCGCGGGTGGGTCGCGGGGGGGGTCGAGGGTGGGTCGCGGGTGGGTCGCGGGTGAGTCGCGGGGTGGGTCGCGGGTGGGTCGCGGGGTGGCTCGCCGGATGGGTCGCGGGGTGGGTCGCAGGGTGGGTCGCGGGGTGGGTCGCGGGGTGGGTCGCGGGTGGGTCGCGGGGAGGACGACGACAACAAACAACAACAACAACAACAACAACAACAACAACAACAACAACAACAACAACAACAATCACTTTACCCGAACGCTCAGTGTTCTCACCAGTGCCAGGGTTTTCATGCGACGCCAGCCAATACCCCCACTTTGTGGGGGGGCAGTGCAAGCTCTACCAAATATCCACACGACTCTTCGCCACCACCCACACCCAGCTTCCCGCCCTATGACGTTCGGACACTTCACTTCGTGGCCTGCGGACGACCGTGGCTACTACACTGGCGTGGAGTACACACCAGGCGCAACCAATGGCGCAACCAATAGGGGGACGTTTTATTCTCGGCGGCCGAGGGCGCAACCTATGGCGCAACCGCAAGGGATTGTGGCCCCTGGCAGGCGCGCGAACCCCGTTGCAAGAGCGTGCGAAAGTAGCTCGCGCGAGCTCATGTAACATAAATGTTGGAAAACCATTGGTTTTTTTTTAGGATTCGGACAGCGCGCGCGGGTAGAAATTTTGAAAAGTCGTGCAGGTGTTTTTCGAGGACCTACGGTGCGATTCGTGTGATTTTATGATGCGCGGTGCTAAAATTCTTAAGAAGCCCAATGGTTTTTGGAGATTTCGGCGTGCGCGCGCGAAGAAAAAACGAATGTGTCCCGCATGGTATTATTTGACAGGGATGATGGCCCTGGCAGGTGCGCAACCGTTGTCGCAGAAGTTCGAAAAAGTTGCTCGCAAAAGCCCGTTTGACAGAAATGTTTAAAAAGTGTTGGGTTTCCTACGAATCCGCAAGAGCGCGCGGGATGAGATTTTGACAATTTTTTGTTGAAAAACCATTGGTTTTTTGATGTTTTTATGTTAAAATCGCTGCGAACACTAAGGTTTTGGAAGGATTTCGTCTTGCGCGCGCGAATGTCCACTTTACCTTATTTTTTGCAAGGGATTCTTGAAATTTGATTATATTAGAACAAGAAATGTCATTTTCTATTGTTTTTTGCAAGGGAAAGCGGATTACAACAAAACAACCGGATCCTGTACACACCCTCTTTTCTGAGGCTTCCTCACGAAAATGATGAAAATGTAGCTGCGGCCTAGGCGGCGCAGGGGGGGCGCGCACCAGGGGGCCCAACAATAATTATTCTTTAGAATAAATAATGTTCAACAACAACAACAACAACAACAACACCAACAACAACAACAACAACAACAACAACAGCAACAGCAACAACAACAACAACAATTACAACAACAACAACAACAATAACAACAACAACAATCATTTTAAGACTGTTCGCTCTTACTTGCCCGCGTGCCATGCAACGTGTATACCCACGCCCTCGATACCCGCCCCCTTCGTCTTCGAGCGTAAGACCTTCTGGGGGGATTCTTTCTTTTTGTGGGGGCGGGCGGGCTTAGACAAGCGGGCGTGAACGGGCGGGGAATTATTCGGAGGATGGGGCACGCATCTCTTTGCCCACCATTGGAATTAGCGCGGGACCTGCAAGAAGAGGAAGGGGGAGAACGAGGGAGAGTGGGAGGAAGGGAGGGGGAGGGACGAGGCTAAAGGGGAACACGCCAGGAGAGAGGCGGCGAGGAGGGGGGGGGGTGGACGATTGGAGATAGAGAGACAGAGGAGGGAGGAAGGAGGAGGCTGGAGAGGGGAGGGCGAAGAGAGGAGAGAGGAGGGTTATGGGAGGAGGGTGAGGGGAGAGAGGAAGAGGGAGGAGGAGGGTGGATATGAGGGAGAGGGGAGGGAGGAGGGAGGTTGGATGGGGAGGAAGGGGCAGGAGGGTAAGAGTGTGAACGTTCGAGGAAGTCCTAGGCGAGGGCGTATTCCTCAAGGAAGAGTTGGGCGGGAGCGGGGGTCCCGAGTACATTGTCGGACGTCTCAGGCGGGAGCGCCGGTCGGGCGGGCGGACCCTGACGGGCGGGTCGGGCGGGCGGGAGATTCAAACGGGATTTTTGCGTAAATTGCGAGGAAGTATTAAGCGAGAGCGCGATTCTTAAGTAAATTGCGAGGGCGTCCTTGGCGCGAGCGTGGTTCCTGAGCGTCGAGAACGCGATGCTGCAACAAATTGTGAGGAAGTCCTAAGCGAGAGCGCCATTCCTGAGTAAATTATGAGGAAGTCTCGGGCGGCAGCAGGGGTCCTGATTAAGGAAGTCTTAAGCGGGAGCGCCGCTTCTGAGTAAAATGCGAGAAAGTCTGAAGCGGGAGCGCCCTTCCGGAGTAAATTTTGAGGAAGTCTCAAGCGGGAGCGGGGGTCCTGAGTAAATTGTGAGGAAGTCTCAAGCGGGAGCTGTTGTTGTTATAGTCCGGGGCCCAACAACGCACTCTGATCCGCAAGTCTTTCCCTGTCAAAAAACCGGGTGCGAGCCCCGGAGGAAACACTTCAATTAAAAAAACAAATGGGCACCAGACAGGGGGGATCAACAATAATTATTCTTCAGAAATGAGAGTTCAACCACAACAACAACAACAACAACAACGACAACGACAACGACAACGACAACGACAACAACAACGAATCAACAACAACAACAACAACAACAACAACAACAACAACAACAACAACAACAACAACAACAACAACAACAACACTCACACCACCACCACCAACAACAACAACAGCAGCAGCAACAGCAACAACAACAACAACAACAACAAGGCGGGGACGGGTTTCTGATACCCTGGGGGGCAGGGTACCACAACCCCCGCCTCCCCTGCTTGCGAGGACGGGTTTCTGGTACCCTGTCCCCCAATGGCGAGGGGGGGGGCGCAACCGCAACCGCGCTACCAGCACGACCACAAGCTAGTGGAAACTAACCAATAACAATTTCCCATTCGAGTTCCCGGTTAAATTCCCAACAGAACATGGATGTGCGCGCCAGCGGAGCGAGCATCCAACTAGAGATGCGCCCAGCTCTAATAGAATCCAACTAGAGCTGCATCCAGTTCTAATAGTCCTACTAGAGCTGCGTCCAGCTCTAATAGCATCCTACTAGAGCGACAGCTCTGACAGAATCCAACGAGAGCTGCGTCCAGCTCTGATAGAATCCCACTAGAGCTGCGTCCAACTCCAAAATAATCCTACTAGAGCTGCGTCCAGCTCTGATAGAATCCTGCAAGAGCTGCGTCCAGCTCTGATAGAATCCTACCAGGGCTGCGTCCAACTCTGATAGAATCCTACCAAAGCTGCGTCCAGCTCGAAAAGAAACCTACCAGAGCTGCGTCCAGCTCGAAAAGAAACCTACCAGAGCTGCGTCCAGCTCTTGTAGAATCCAACCAAAGTTGCGTCAAGCTCTAATAGAATCCATCTAGAACTGCGTCCAGCTCCAAACGAATCCTAATAGAGTTGCGTCCAGCTCTAGTGGAATCTTTCCAGAGCTGCGTCCAGCTCTGATAGAAGCCTGCTTGAACTACGTCCAGCTCGGATAGAATCCTACGAATGCTGCGTTCAACTCTGGTAGAATCCCACTAGAACTGGGTCCAACTCTGATAGAATCCTACTAGACTTGCGTCCAGCTCCAAAAGAATCCTACTCGAGCCGCGTCCAGCTCTAGTAAAATCCTACCAGAGCTGCGTCCAGCTCTGATAGAATCCTACCAGAGCTGCGTCCAGCTCCAAGAGAATCCCACCAGAGCTGCGCCCAGCTCGAATAGCATCCTACGCGACCTGCGTCCAGCTCCAAAAGAATCCTACTACAGCTGCGCCCAGCTCTATTAGCATCCCACAAGAGCTGCGTCCAACTCTAATAGAACCGTACTAAGAGTATGGTCCAGCGCAAATATAATCTTACTAGAGCTGCGTCCAGCTCTGATAGAATCCCACTGGAGCTGCGTCCAGCTCCAAAAGAATCATACTAGAGCTGCGCCCAGCCCTGCTAGAATGTTATTAGAGCTGTGCCCAGCTGTAACATGATCCTACTAGAGCTGTGCCCAGCCCTAATAGAATCCTACTAGGGTTGCGTCCTGCTGCATTAGCATCCTACTAGAGCTGCGCCCAGCCCCGACAAAATCCTATTCGAGCTGCGTCCAGCTCTAACAGTATCCTGCTAGAGCTGTGTCCAACTCTGATAGCATCCCACGAGCACTGCGTCCATCGCTGATAGAATCCTACTCGAGCTGCGTCCAGCTGTAAGAGCATCGTACTCGAGCTGCGTCCAGCTCTGATAGAATCCTACTAGAGATGCGTCCAGCCCGAAAAGAAACGTACAAGACCTGCGTCCAACTTTAATGGAATCCTACTAAAAGCATGGTCCAGCTATCATGGAATCCTACTAAAGCTGCGTCCACCTCTGATAGAATCCGACTAGAGCTGCGTCCAGCGCTGAAAGAATACTACTAGAGCTGCATCCAGCTCCAAAAGAGCCCT